AAAAAAGTTAGAACTGTAAATTTATCATTTGTCATTTTTACTATTTTTCAAGGCTGCACTTAAAAAAAAGATGAAATTGTCCAGAGAGCTGTTCCAAAAGAAAAAAAATATTTTTGTATTACAATTGTGTAAACAAAATGACAAATAAAATCTGTCTAATCTCTAACGTCTACTATCAGCATTTGTTAAAATGAACACCATTTTGAATACATTATAATAACAGGAATCTCTACTATAAAACTGCAGTATTTAATTATTTCTAACAGGAATATCTTAATTGGCGTTTAATATTGCTGTATTTTCTCTAACTGCAGGTTTGTGAGGATGGTGTCAAATTGGAAGGTGCCGACATAAAAGGCCTTGCAGCTCTCACTGCTGACTCTGTCATCCAGAATATCCACAAAAGACTAGAAGGACGTCCTGCAGGTTCTAACCACTGCTCATATCAGCAAATCTGCTGCCAGCAATTCAAGGCTGAGGGACTTTCTACTTCCTTTGCCTACTTATGTTTCCTTCCTCTCTTTTTTCCAGTACATTTTCTATGTTAGTAAACGTGTTATAAATGGACAGCAATAAAGTGCAACAATTTATAAGCAACTTCTCCTTAATAGTTTTATTTATTTTTTATGGTGTTTTGTCCAATTTATTGCTTTTACTCACTTACCATCATAGATAGTTATATTTGTGATGTTTTTTCTTTGGATTGGACACATTTCTTTAGGGAAAAGCATGGTTCTCTTTTTTTTTTTTTTTTTTTTTTTTTTTTTTTTTTTTTTTTTTTTGACCAAACCAGTTCTGCCTGGTATCTGCTGATTGCCTGCATTTATAAAGAAGTGTTCCTTCTTGCAATAATGGAAACTTGCATGCAAATTTGATCTCTTAGAATAAGTAATTTACTGTATATCTAAGCCTGTGGCTAATTTTAGTCTTGTGTAGCAGTAGCACTTTGTAAAGTAACAGCGCTTTTGGCCTTTAGACTGACGTGATTTTTTTTGGTCGCTAACTATTCTCTGTATTTTTAGAACAGGCCCGTGAAGAGGTGGTGCACTTCCTCAAAAGACCAAATAAAGATGCACGCTGTGTAGCAAAGACATGTTCTGGATGGCAGCTATTAAAGTCCCTTCTCTTGCTTACATCAGACACTGCAGTGAGTGATGGTCACCACTTCTAATCTGACATGGCATAATAATGATTGTTATTAATACACGTTACGTTTAATTGTAGATGCAGTTTGCAGTTATTGTGAATAAAATTCTGCGTGTAGCAACAACAGCAAAGCTATTTTAATTTTCACATTCTACTTTAATACATTTTGATATTTACCATTGCGCTCATGTATTTGCAGACAGTGCTGTCATGTTTAAACCCAGAGCTGCCTGCTGCTTTGGTGAAATGCCTGTACCTGCTGGTGTGCCTTCCTGCAAAACAAGAAAACACTGCCATGGAGCTGACCTTCCAGGAGCCTTTGACCCAGGTCAATAAACTATCAATCCCTGTTTTAAGGCATTGGTTTTATGTGCAACCTCTCATTTATACTTCGATTTTAAAGGAGAACAACAGTGGTTTCAGTAATAAGAGTTTTTTTTTTTCTTGAATGCTTTCTTGTTTTAATGCAAGGCTTTTATTATTCATTCACTGTATCAAATTAAATTGGTAAATAAAATGTGCAATCTGGGGTTTTGCTCCAGATAGCAAGGGAAAAGTGTGACCTAATGAAAAATTTTACAGTCCTTTTTTTCCCTTCCTGTTTGGTTGGATTACTCTATAAAAATCAAACGGAAAAATAAACTTCTCTTCCCCTTGAGGATTACCAAAGAGCAATTTGCTAATCTGTTTTTCATATACTAAAGACTTTTTTTTTGGCATGCAGCTTTACTTGCTTCTGTTGTGTCTAAATTTCTCCAAATTTGTTGGAGACATTTTTGCTGGGCTTTTTTTGAAATAAATAATTTGGGGATAATCCAAATAAGTTTTATTTTTATTTTTTTCATTGCAAAGTGACTAAAGGCTAATTGAGTCTTTGCTAATTTTCTCTTATGTGCCCACATAATGTTAATATTTTGATTTTGATAGGTGGGTGTTCATGTTGCTGCGGTCTGCAGTCTGGACGTTAGATGTCGCTGAAAATTACACACTGTAGCTTTAAATGCTTTATTGAGTAGCTGAAAACTCAGTGGATCAAAAATATTTTGAGATGCATAAAAACGTCTCGTTCTTCCTTCGAAGAGATTAAAAAAATAAGTGATGGCAGTAGTTTTAGCCATGATACTGATGCTGCTTTTAAATTTGGACTTTGAGCCTCACACTAAGTTAGGGGAATGATGTTAAATCTTACTGTAAATGTTCTTTATGTAAGATAACAAAATAACAGGACTCTCGAATATTATTATTATGCTATGTAACAGTACAAGCCAACAGCAATGCATGTATATATTTCTCTCTATCTAATGTATTCTATTTTTGGAAGACACATGCTGTCAATTGGGAACAATTCAATTGCAGTATAACCTCATTAAATACTAAATTCTGTCCTCTGGAAAATTCAGCTTCCCATGCTGGAGTTATAAGTAACATAAGATAAGGTTTTAAAAATTGAATCTTGAAAGTTTTGAATTCTTAGTACAATATTTAGTCATAATTTTTTTCTTTTTAATTTTTTCATTCAAAATGTAGCATAAATTTTATTTTTATTTATCTCTTTTGGGTATGATATAATATTGCACAGAGTCCTGGAGTAACTTCATCTTCTTCCCCCTAAACATATTTTGGTAGATTTTCCTTCAACTCTGCAAGCATCCACAGAATGTGGAACAGTTGGTGGAGACCCAGGAGCTGCAGTGTCTCATTATTGGTCTCACATCATTATGGGATCAGACCAGTCCACAGTGGAGGCATCAGGCATCACGTGTTCTCAAAGCCGTCTCTTCCGTTCCAACAGACAAAACTGTTCCAAGTTTGTTAAGTAAGTTAACCAAAAGCTAATGCAAATTTATAATTTTTCCCTTTTATTTTAATTCTTTAAATTTTTTATGTGTTTTTAATGTAGGAACATATTTCGCAATGGGTTGGTTCCCTTTTTTGTGTCTGTGTAAATCTCTGACCTTTTCTCCAAAGGCAAAAACTGCGTACGAATCTGTATCCAGAACCTTTTGCACATCAAAGCCAAAGTCCCAGGATCACTTCTAGCTGAGGTGGCGGTTGCTGTGTTTGGCTTTGTAAGAGACACGTATCACCTGAATCCAGCACTCTTTAATGAGTTTGACAACAACAATGGCTACAAGGCCCTGAGAAAAATCCTTAAACGGTGAGATTATACATTAGCAAAATGGAGAAAGCAAAGACATTCTTAATTCTACTAATACCACACTGCGTTCTTCATACTGTTTGTGGTTTGTCTCTGGTGGCAAAAATGAGATAAAACATGACTCTAATGATCTGATGATTACACAGAACTTGCATCAGCTCAGGTGCGGAGCTAGATGGGGGGCCAGGGGTTGGCCATGGCCACCCTTAGCAAATCATTGGCCACCTCTGTGGCCACCCCTACCATTTTTTCCCCTCTAATATAGATGGTGTCAGCAGTAATACTCTCAAGTAGAATATTCTTAACATTTAATTTTTTTGTGGTTAATTATACACATCAATATACTAACATCAAAGAGGATAAGTACAGAATTCATGCTCTTTTCAGAACTAGATTCTGTCTTACATCGGGTAAAGAGAAAAGGTGTCTCTGCAAGTCATCTAGGAGTCTTCAGTGAAATCATAGATAAATAACAATTTTAATAAAAACTTATCAAATAATCAATTAATGTAGATATTAGTGCTTGTAAATACAATTTTAGGCAGAATGTTTATTGATACAAGTAGGTAAGTAATGACAATAAAACTGAAAGTTTTATCCACTATACCTTTTATCTAGAAATCACGGGTGTTTAAAATATATGTGTCTATTTGTTAGCAAAAGCTGTAGGAAAGTATAGTTTGTCTTTATTTAGACTTTAGACAATTTGGATTTTTTGCTCATTCATTTTCCTGTTGGAACAGTGTAGATTGACCTTGAGGTTGTTGTGCTGATCTGCTTTTGGTCACCCCTCAGTGTACATTGGTTATTGCCAGGCCACCCTTATAAACATTTTTTGGTTACGCCTCTGCATCAGCTTAAGGTCGAAATTCACCAGAGGAAAATGTTGTGCATTGGTTTAAATTGAATGAATTTGAGCTTATACATGCATCAAAAGTTTTGGAAAACTGGATGCCCTGCATTGCATCCTTCGCCCTAAAAAGTAAACACCAAGTAACAACATGTAATGCAATTAGTATGAGAAGTGCAATTTTTTCCCACCTATATTTAATGTAAAAGATAACCAAGCTGCTTCATAGCATGGTTGCAACTTAACTTCAAGTGTGAATGTTTATGAAAGTTTGATTATGATCACTGTGAGATAAATCTCCAGTTTTGGTGATTCTTAACTTCACAAAACAATGCAAGACGGAAAACGCAAACTTGGTTTTAGATGAACTGTTTTGGAATCTGTCTAACAAGATTTTTTCTGGAGAAGAGTTAAGCCTACCACACCCAGTGATCTGAGGCGCTGTATACATGCATCATGGTGCTGCATGCTATCTATAGTGCTTACTTTTTAGGGCTAGCAGTCCCAGATTGCAATGCCTTACAGCCATGTTTTTTAACCGCTTGATGCATGTATAACGGAAATATCACATGAAAGAAATGATAAGGGGAAGGAACACATTTGTCTGGCACTGTAGTATGCAGAGTGCATTTATTTTTACACAGAGTCTCTTTATGGCATCCATAGAGCAGATTTGTTAGCATCCTTAGTTACTGTATAATGACAAATGAATTGCAAGGACACATATATGTACCATTTATTTATTTATTTTTTTTTTTTTTACAATTAAAAGCTGTGAAGATGGTGTTCCCTTGGATCAGTTTCAGCCTGTGGGGGAACTGCTGGCTCTGATTGCAGCTTTTACTTTTCTTGGGAAAGCAGAGCTGAAAGTGGCTCTTTGTGTGACCAATCCCCAGCCTGCCGGCTTCAGGTTTGACCCGCCACTCACTAAAGGTAGGTCAGGTCTTTCTAAAACCCTACCTTATTATCTCTTCTTGTACCATGAGGATAAACTACCAGCTACTCCTTACAAATGTGTTCTCCAAACTAAGTAGTAATTAGTTTCACATGCATGGCTCAGCAAAGATGGTTTCAGGGAGGGGAGAGCCCACTCAGAGGAACCACACACTTCATCCCTACTTTGCACTTCTGCCCTCGTATAATCCAGCTTAACTGCATCAACCCCCCTCGGCTGATTTCCCACAGACCCTGACTCCTCATCCCTCGTTCTGCTGCCCCCTTTGCAGTCTGCAGCCTCCCTCAGGTTAACAGGAAGCTGAGGTGATTATGTCTGGGATGATGAAGTGGAGGCTCCCCCCCTAACTCTGTTAGGTTTCCCCACATCCATTCACAACTGGCCTACAGCAGCTAGTCATCTATCATCGACGCACACACACGTACACACACACTTCCATCCAGGGCTCATAAATAGAGCATCTGTAATATACATACACAGATCAAGCCACTCAGCAGCCATCCATCACATCAAGGAGCAGAGATCTGTTTTCAGCAGAGGGATGAGGTGCGGTTTTTACCAACTTAATGCAATACAGTTTTAGGAGTGGAAACGTATCACATTATTAACCAGATTTATTGTTTACTTAAAACAAGCAATGTTTGTTTTCTTGTTCATGAAATGTAAAACATTATACAAATATTTTTTACAATGCACCAAATAAATGCTATTAGGGCACTTTATGATACATTCTATGCATTTGTAGCTGAAATCTGTTTGGCTTTATTCAATCAGAGCAGAGAAAACTTAGTTTTTTGAGGCTTCATGCTTTGTATTTTTGGATTAAAAAGCTCTTTTTTTTTTTTTACAGAAAGCGTTTATATATAGTTTGTTAGAGGGCATTTTTGTTGAGTTTTTATGGCACCAGTGGCTCATTTTTTCGACAGTAGGCTGACAGGAAAGGGGGTATGAGAGAGGGGGAGAGACATGCGGCAAAGGATCACGGGTCAGATTCGAACCCGGGTTGAGGACTCAGGCCTATGTACATAGGTCATGCGCGCTAACCACTGCTCCACCTGCACGCCCCAGAATATAGTTTTAAACCATTACCATTTCTGAAATCATACATACATATATATAAAAATAACCATAAAAAAAAAAAAAACAATTCTAATGATGCATTTTAAAATGTCCAGGTCTGGCTGTAAAGAACCTCCCTGCCTTCCACCTGCTGCAGGCTTCATTGCTGCATTCCCAGGATTCTCTTTTCTGCTGTCAGCTCCTTCGAACCCTCCAGTCGATCTGGGAGAAGGATCCTGCTAACTTCTTCCTTTTAGAGTGGACTGTCCAGTCACTGGCCCAGGTAGCTGCCCGTGTGTCCCATAAACCACTGCCTGTTCAGAAAATCTTCTTTTCAATGCTGGAAAAGGTATGAGCTTTAAATCTTACAAAAAATATATATATATTTTAAATCATTAAACTCTTATTCTTGGTTTTAACGGCTTGTTTTGTTCGTTGCTTTCCAGGTGGTGTTTAAGATGAGCTATATACCCCATGAGACACTGCGAGCCCTGCTGGGTGTACTGAAGAAGAACTGGGCAGGGACAGGTGGAGCAGCAGGGACAGAATTTAGTCTGGTTGCGCTCCAGTGTTTTTACAAGTGAGAAGTGACAGGAATTTCAGATTATTTTTTTTATTTCTTGTTTTTTCTTTCTTTTTCATGGCTGAGGCAGATTACCTAGGTTATTTTATTAGATTATTTTAGTGACCAGTTTTAATTCCTTTAACATCACTTTTTCTTTCTTCTCGTTGTCTCATCTCAAAAGCTTGAATAAAAATTTAAATTCTTCACTGTTTTGTAGGATGATTTTGCATAGCACTATGCTAACAGAGGTGCTAAGTGATTGGGGAATACTCGAACTGTTGCTTGGAGAACTCCGCAGGAGGGCTAAGATCCTGAGGAAAGCTGGCGTTGTTTCTCCGTCCAAAGAGAGTGAGAGCCAGCATTTGAATTTCCTGACCTTTGAAACAATCCTCAAACATAACATCTGAAAACTTTAGCAACACTTTTTCCTTCATGCTAATATAAAAGCTTAATTTATACACACCAATTTCTGTGCACTAAGGATGTAAAAATCTCTAAACAAGGTTATATTTCTCAACGGACAATTTTTTTTCTCTTTAGATCCTTTTCATCTTCAGTGTGTGGAGAAAAGTGAGAGGCAACTAACTACCTGCATGCTTCAAGTTGTTTCAACCCTTACTTTGAGATCTATCAAAAATACAGGTATTTAATTTGATTCATTCAATCATTTACTGAATTTCATTCATGAATCCTTAATATAGAGATGAATTCATTAAATAGAAATGGATATGATCTTAGTTATTTCTTTATCTATACAAGTACCGGTAAGTATAATTAATTTTGTTTCTGTCATAGAGGTAAACAAAATTTCACAGTTTTTTCCCCACACAGGATTACACATTCTATTTTTTGCATGCAGGTATATAGTATCTTTTTTATATAAGTATATATTTAGCCTAACTTATGTTTAAATATATTATATTCTTTAAGTTGTAAAACTTGTTTTTAATTATTGCAGCTTACTAATTAAGTTGATTCAATTATGTTTTACGTTATTGTTGCTTAGTCTGACTGATTATTGTGTAGCACTTTGTTTTTTCACCATGCAGGTATATTTATCAATAGAGCCACTTTATGTGTTTTTTCCATTCATTCATTGTATACAATTTAAATAAAACATTTTTTGCACCTGCATATAGAATAATGTATAATTATTGATTGAAGCGTTTTCCTCATGTTTTTTAGTGTCACTGCGAGATCTTGGAATGGTGCCTTACATAAAGATCTTCTTGGATGATGATCAGTATCGTGCTCCGACGCTCAGCATTTTGGAGCAGCTCGCTGAAATCAACCCTGATGAATTCATGAGCACAGCCATTGGATCCCTCTGCTCCTCCACGCAGCAGGAGCTCAGGTTAAAGCTGGACCTCTTGTCGGTATGTTGCTCATGCCCAGACAAGCATAGATGACAGCTCCTGGCCTCCCGCACACACTTAACTCAGATGTGCAGAGGTTCGAGTTAAACTCTAAATGCAGTCTTGCTCCATATTCAATTGTAACAATTTGTAATGCACTTAAAGCATGATAAGCTTGTGAATTTATTTTCTGCGCATGTGGGACTTTGATGAAATTACAGACAAATGCAGATTGATTCGCTAAAACTGATTTAGCTGTTAACTCTGGACCGATTTGATTAGGCCGGCAGTTTTGTGCTGTGGCGCTGTGAAGATTACCACCTCTATCGGATCAGTGAATGGGACAAAGATCTCATTAAAGCCTAACTAAGTTACACACCTACTGTATGTGTCCATTTTTATAGATGGCAAGAAAAGGAGCGCTCACACACGGATGCTCTTTGTCTCTCCACGTGTGCCGGCGTGCACGAGCAGGCGCGTGCATGCGTGCAATTCTTAGTGCTAACACGGTTATAGCAGGTGGCAATCAGATTGCCTACGACCTGGGTTGGCGAGTGTTGAGAGCCATTGTGATTACTCCAGTTTCACTTAATCACATTTTTCCCTGCGTTATGTCTCCCACATTACCTACCTGATGGATTAGCTTTCCAAATTCAATAGAAATAATGTGATTTTGTTCACCACCAAAAACTGGTTACAAGAAATGATTTATGATTTATCTATATGTTTCATCTGTTTTTCATGACACTTTTTTTTAATTGACTAAGATTTTCCAAAAGTCAAGACTTGAAGGAAAGCTTAGGCCCAGTCAAATCAATTTGGGCTCATTTGCTTGGATGTTTGTGTTTTAAATGTTTGTCTTTATTACTCTTTTTTTCCAGTCTGTGCTTCGAGTGTTGGAGAGCCCCAACTCCTGGGACGCCTTTAGGAAGGCAGGGGGATTCTCTGGACTCTTATCTCTGCTGGTGGACATGGAAGGAGCTCTCTTAGACCCTCCGAAAGGAGAAATATGGAAAACTCTGGGGCATCGCCAGCTGCTAGAACTCCTCCTTCTCACGCTGCATATCATGGCTCTGGCTGTCCATCTTCACATTGTAAATGCACACTATTTTCAAACAGAGGGTTTCTATGAAAGGCTCTCAGATGCACTTCTCCAGCTGGGCTGCTTCCACTTTGAAGGTCATCAGTGGGAGGGAGAAGAATTCTCCAGTGCCATGGTCTCAGATGAAAACCATGGTCCAAGGCAGAGCTTTGTGCAGTTTGTTGAGTTAGCTGAAACGTTGGCAACCCCCAGCAGTTGCTCCAGTTCGCCGCAGCAAAATTTGCCAAAAACTCTTCAGACGTGTATCCGGCTGCTCTCTTACCTCGACCAGTTTGCCACAGGGACCTACTCTCCTCAGGTTTTACAATTGGGGCAAATATCTGATGGTGAGTGTGATGAAAATAGGGAGACACTTCATGAACCTTCACATCCTCATGGAGGATGTGAAGCAGTTTTTATTTCTGGACCTCCGTCAGTCCTCTCAGGATTCGGTCCACAGTGTTTGGAGGAGAAACTTGGAACTTCCAAAACCATGGCACCCAGTCCAACAGTTAGCACAGTGGCCCAATTTAGGTAGATATAATTATACGCTCTTTAATTTACAAGTTAACTTTTTTAATAGACAAGTTAACAAAGGCTGTTAATCAAGTTGTATTGAGACTTGATTTTTATTTTTTATGTTTTACAGTAGGTTTACATGCGATCAGGTGATTCTTCATCCAGGGGCAGTACGAGTGATCATGACTCTCCTTCCTCATGTTTTTGCTCCAGAAGACCCACAGGTAACTTGTCTCTCAAGGGTAACACCAGTTGTTTTGCTTATGAAGCCCTAGAGGGGCTACATAATTGTCATAGGGCTCGACAGTTAATTGCAATATAATCTCAAATTAACAAATGAAATTTCAAGTTTACAGCAGCACTCAGTTTTGATCACATCATATTTAATAAGAGTAAGACAGTGACTTTCCCACTTTTTAGGTGGCAGTAATGGACTTAAATAGGCTTGACAAGGAATACAAAGTTGCACCTAGCATTAAGTTCCATTCAGGAAAGGAATAAGCCCTTTTCCAAACATCAGTAACAGTAAAGTCCTGCAACAATGGACACCAGACAAGAAAAACTTTAAGGTCATGAAAACAATGAAAGTCTGATGTAACACATTGATATAGTGCACAGGAAAATCATAATATAATCATAATATTGGTCGGAATAGAAAAAACTATCTAGTATTGGCAAAATGGTTGAGCCCAACAAGTCCTAATTACAAATATGAACAGAAAAGAATAATATTCTAATAAAAAACAGGTTAACATTTATAAATCACTTGGACTGTTGCATGAAGGACAAGAGCCTGTATTCATGGTAGTTTCTCACTATTAATCACATTTGATCTTTCACATCTATTCATCTATTAACTTCACTTTAATATCTAATAACTCATGTCTACTGCAGGTTTATAGAAATTAGACGTGATATACCAACAAATAACCAGTTTTTAGTCACAAGGTTGAAGAGCAGGGATTTATCTATTGATTTTTTAAAGAAAAGAAAAAAGGCACTCTAAATGTAGGAGTAGGTCACACCAAAGGAGACCTTCTGTTGTAAATGCAGATTTGTATATTACATACTTATCTAATCCTTCACTTTAAATCTCAATTAAAACATTTGAAGCCTGTTTTTTTTAGTTGAATAAAATACTATAAAAATCAGAGTGCTAATACTTGAATGTAACATTATGTTTGACTTTCTTCATCCATTTTCCATTAAAGCCCCATTTTTCTTTTTTTCAGCTCTCCATGGAAGTCCAGTTCTCACTGGCTCACCACATACTGGCCATGTTCAAATCAGAGCGAAACCGACAGATCATGTGTGAGGGAGGACTGGTGTCCACTCTCCTGACCCACTGCCGCAGCATGCTGCTGTCTCCAAACCACCCCCTGCATCTACCCGTGACGCGGATGTTTGAGAAGCTCTCCTCCCAGGCCATCTTAGGTTCCGATTTCAGGTTAGGTGCAGTCTGTGTCTGTGGTTTAAGTTTTTAATGTGCTGTATTTGCTAAACTTTAGCGTATGTTTCCTTTTAGACGGTTCCTGTGTTTAGGTGATCCTCTAATGTGCTTGGCGGATCAAAAGCCCAAGCAGGTTCTTATGGAAACTAACCCACCGCTTGAGACATCATGTTCAAAAGGTAGACATCTTTTTTACAATTACACTATTGTTGTAGAACTTTTTGAGCCTCTGTAAGGCACCTAAAAATATTTCTTTCATGCATTGATTTACATTTCTTCAGCATTAGCTGACTTTTCTAATGGCCTTACAGTCATTTATTTTATTAATATTTTTTAATTTTATTTCATTAATTTAAAATAACAAAAAAACAGATATTGATACATTACAGAACAAGAGCAGCAAGAAGAATAATTCTTAAATCATTATTACAAGGGTAATTATTTGAATTAAATGTTTGGATTTTCTTGGCTCTTTACAAGCTATAAATCATCTAGTAATAAATAGTACCATGAACACTGAAAAAAATTGTCTAATTAGTTGTGTGAATGAACTTTTTACAAAACTCTGGACTTAAACACCATTTGTTTTTACTCTTCTAACAAACTTAAAATCTTATTGCCAGCTGAGAGGATAGACCAGGGAAACACCATCCACCAATTTGCAGCTTGGCCCACATCAGATTTCTTCCAAAACCCTTTTTCTTGTTTGCCTCTCAGAAATGATACAGAAATCAAGTTGTTATTAAAAGTTTTTCTTAAACCAGATCAGAACACGCAGGCTGATGCTCAATCATTACCAAAGAAACTGAAACGGACCTTTAGCTTGCTGCAGCCTACAACTTCGATTGGTTCTGCCATCCCTGTCCACCAGATTGTCAGCCTGGTTTCCATGACAGCACCACGCACCTTCAGACCCCACCGGGTCTCTTCTTCTCCTGCCTTTGTAGAGTTTGATATGAGTGAGAGTGGATATGGGTGAGTTGTTTTCAAAAAAGTACATACCGGTACATATATTTATTTTTATTTAGTAATATATGTGCTGACCAACACTTTTTAACATGGTTTAATGTTTGCTTTAGGTGTCTTTTCCTGCCGTCTTTAGCTACGGTGAAAGGTGTTACAGCTGATTCCATCTCAACCGGTGGAATTGGAGGAGGTAAGCAATAATTCATTTCACGTTAACTAATTGTGAACAAAATGTGAAATATTTCCCTTTAATTTTTAAGAATGCAGAGGCTTCCCGCCAACAGCCGGCCTGTCGTTTACCTGCTGGTTCCAGATCAACAGATTCAGCTCGGCTTGTGATTCCCATCCGATCCGTCTGCTGTCAGTAGTGCGCCACATGTCCCGAACCGAACAACAGTTCATCTGCTTGTCAATCTCTTTCTCAGCCTATGATGGCTGCCTGGTTATCTCCACAGAGGAGGAAGCATTCACATATCTGGGTGAGGAAGGCAGAGGTTGTCTTTGTCTGTCTTTCTAACTCTCAGAAGTGTGCAGAGAGATTATCTGTACCTTATGTGCAGATATGATGGAGCCAGAGGTCTGCTCTCCAACCTCTTTGCCCTCGTCACTGAGGTTCCGCTGCTCAAGCATGTTGGTCCCTGGCCAATGGCACCACTTGGCTGTCGTCTTGGCCAAAGATGTGAAGAAAAGCTGCGTGACTTCAGCCTACATCAATGGAAAGCCAGTGGGAACAGGAAAGGTAGATGGGGGAAGAGAGGGGGAGGGGTGCATGGTCTGAATATATATATTCCATCATAGCTTCTCATTCTCTTATACCTGCTATCATCAGATGAAGTATATTCAGCCGTTCCCAGGTCAGTTTGTCTCCATGGATCCCACAGCTGTGATCGATGTGTATGGACTGATAGGAACACCAGTCATGTGGAAAGATCACGCAGCTCTAGTTTGGCGTGTGGGTCCCTGCTACCTGTTCGAAGAGGTGTTGAACGTAGAGGGTGTGGGTGTTGTTTACACACAAGGCACCGCATATTTAGGGAACTTCCTGGCTCTGCACAACACGGGTAAGTCTGTGCTTCTGGAGCACATCTATTGTTTTGTTTTGAGGAAGTCAAATCTTTAAATTAGCTCTTTTTCACTTTTCTTTTAGTAATGGGGAATATTTGTCTGTTTAAACATTGATTTTACTTCCTTCTGTTATTTTCTCAATAGAGGTTCTTGTTCTTTTGCAATGCAGGAACAGTAATCAATCTTCTTAGTTTTAAAGTTGATAAAATTTGATTATGAAATCACTGAGTTGATGAAAAGAAGTGTTGATCTAGAACATTGTTACGTTACATGTCTTTGCCCTTGTGTCCAGGTCTTGATCCGAATCCAGAGTCTTTCCCACTCAGGCTGGTTCCGGAGGAGCGGATTTCTTTTGGCATCAACCCCGTAACTTCCACTTTAACAACTGTGGTGCAAATCAGGGAGGATTACAATGAGGTGGATTCCAGACTGATTGCTAAAGAGGTAGGGTTGAGGAAGAACCTTCCCCATAACGATTCCGTTGTTTAAAAAAGAAACAAAAACAAATTGCCTTAATTTTGTACAACTGCAGATGGGGATAACATCTCGAGATCACACCACTCCTATTTTTCTCCTACAAAACATTAGCAAGCACCTGAGTGGTACAGCTCGCACCATAGGAGCTGCCCTGATTGGACATTTTGGTGAACACTCTAAGGTTTTACTGAGTCCATTAAAAAGTCCTTCTGTCTGATGTTCATTATGTTTTAATCTCCCTGTTTTTTGCCAGGTGTTCGAACTTTTATCCCCAGGTCAGCTTCCAGTGGTTTTCTTTTTGTAGGTGGGCCTGCTGTTGTTCTCAGTCTTGTTGCAATGGCGCCAGATGACAGCTCGCTGTATGCAGCCATTAAAGTTCTTCTTTCAGTGCTCGAGACTAACACTGCAATGCAGGAAGAAATGAACCGCATCGATGGATACAAGGTTTATCTGAGCATAGTGATGCAATGCTGTAATGTTGCTTTTTGTCTGCATTAACATGTGCTTACTGTTCTGATGTTTTCCCCTAGCTGTTAGCCTTCCTACTAAAGACGAAGAGCAGTCTTGTCAGCCATCGAACCTTTCAGCTTGCTATGTGTCTCTCAAGTTCATTGGAGATGAGCTGTGGAACTGGTTACCTACAGAACACACCTGCTTTCCAGGCTCTGCTGTGTGACCTGGAGGTACTGATAAAAAATAGTTAAAGATGTAGAGTAAGATGTTCTTTTACTAGTCGGATCATCAAAATAAGTGGTCCTCCTTATAGTAAAATCATTCTGGTGATATGTTTACGTAAGGCCATCCTACGTGGTTGTCTGACATAGTGGAAAAATTGCAAATCTTATTTTTGAAAGTAAGCTTGTATCAGCAATGCAAGCAGCAACTTTTAAATAGAGCATGCATGGGGAGAAATTTAATTGTGCATGCTCTCAGACGTATTTAATAGTCGTTCCCTCTTGGCAGTGGGTACAGGGTTGTGCATGTGCATTTTTTTTTAAAAGTGGAGAGGGCGGGTCTTTTCAGAAATTGGCAAAAATCCTCCACTATACCTTAAAGCAACAACATGAAACTTTTTATTAACTGCATTAAACAGAACAATAACTGATGTGATACATCTCTCTTTTTTCCATATTTCAGGTGTGGCAGAAAACACCAGACAGTCTAGACCTCTCAGTCCTAAACTACTTTGCTGAACTCCTGAATTCCTCAAGGTAATTCCCCCTGTTAACAGCATGTGACTGATTGTCAGTCTGTGTTTTTTTTAGAAGCTTCATGTCAAACCAGACTCTTTGTAACATTGATAATCATGGGGGAAGTCTTCCAGGCCTCACAAAAACTACAATTTGTTCCCAATGACTCACAAAGGAGCTTGAAACTTCCCACTCTTTTCTTACTATGCTCAAACTCTCTGTGGTTAGATCATGTTGATTTATTTTTATGTTTTCCACCATTTTCAAAGAAAAACGCTTTTTAATACATTTAGCAAAAGTGAAGCATGTCTCAAGTGGAGGAGTTCAAGTATCTTGGGATCATGTTCATGAGTGAGGAATGGATGGAGCTTGAGCCGGATTCGTACGGCATTGGCAGTGATGCGATCACTGTATCAGACTGTCCTAGTGAAGAGGAAGCTGAGTCAGGGGATTAAGCTCTTGCTTTTCCCATCTAAGTTCCCACTCTCACCTATGGTCATGAGATCTGGGAAATGACAATGAATGAAAGGACAAGGATGCGAATACAAGTGGCCGAAATGAGTTGTCTTCGCAGGGTGGCTGGGTGCACCCTTTGAGATTGGGTGAGGAGGTCAGAGTAGAGTCATTGCTCCTCCACGTCAAAAGGAGCCAGCTGAGGTGGCTCGGGCTTCTATTCCTGGATGCCTCCCTGTCGCCTCTCTCAGGAGGAGTTCCAGGCATGCACTATTGGGAGGAGGCCTCAAGGAAGGCCCAGGACACGCTGGAGGGACTATGTTTCTGAGCTGGTGTTGCCTCGGGGTCCAACAACAGCTGTTGGAGGAGGTGTGTTTGGATTGGGAAATCTGGGCATCTCTGCTTAGACTGCTTAGACGGCCATGGATAAAGCGGAAGAAAATGGATGGATGGATGGATGGATGGATGGATGGATGGATGGATGGATGGATGGATGGATGGATGGATGGATACATGCATACATGCGAGATTAAATGAGTCTACTATCCTGCGTTTATTGATACATCCCAGCTCCAGGACACCTGAATCAAATGAGCGTCTAGTTAAAAAGTATTTTGTCAGACCTGAAGAGATGCTAGAAAGATAATAGATCATTTGATTCAGCTGTGTTTATACAGAGATGTATCTAAATGTTAGAAGGCGGTAGGACCGGAGTTGGAGAGCCTTATTCAAATTTACTGTCCATTCTCACAGCCAACAACTCATGTAAAGCGATAAATAGTGCCTTGTTCTGAATTGACAGCCTTTATTGCCTGTTCTGTCAATGCACACAGAATCCTGTCATCAATGTCACAGAACTGTAGAGCAGAAATAGTCAAGGGAACGTTCAACAGAATCAGCCAGGAAGGCTGAGAAGAGGACTAAACGCTTATATGGATTGTTGAATTAGATTTTCTGTCTGCAGGAACAGATTGTGATTGATATCGGTGCTGTTTCTGTTTCCCTCATCATAACCAAGCAGTGACGGCAGGAATGCAGCGGTCATCCACAGCGCCTGTCTGGTGCCAAAGCTACTGTTTGAGTTGTGTGATCCAGCTGTGACCGTTCAAAGGGTTCACATTATTTCCGACATTGTCAGCTCACTGCTAAAGGCTCACTTGACTTCTTTGGACATAAGCAGGTAATTTATTAAATGTATTTGCTAAATACTAACAGCCTATATTGTTATTTAATTGTTTCTACATTTCTCTTTTCATGCGTTATAAGGCTTGGGCTTTTCCTGGTCTACACCCTCCCTCCTTGCAGTGAAAAATCTGAAGGCACTGACATATTGGATGGGGAACTTTCAAATGACATGTCAGGTAAAAGTTTAAATAAATACTTATATGTGATATATGGAAATCTGTCACTGATCCAGATTTGTTTTCTCTGTTCTGTAGCTCAGGGCTCAGGCCCAGCCAACATCATCTGCATACGCAACAAGATGCTGCTTGTACTTAGTGAAGTCCTCAAATCAGACAACCTTCAAAAAAAGTAAGGGTCAATACTTTAACATTTTGCTTAACATAAGTAGAAAAAATCAAATATAGTTTTAGACATTAAATCATATCATGGAAGGAATATTAATCCATTAATACAATATTTTTGTTTTGTTTTGTTACCCAATTAGTCACCAGGCAACTGTAATTCAGTCCCTCGGCAGTGATTGGTTCCTGCTCTTCCTTCAGGCCCACCTCCACCCTTCCACTTTGAAACTGGGCCTCATCCTCCTGACCCAGTTTCTGACCAGTCCAGGCCAGCAGAGCAGCTTCAGAGAGGGTGTGATCCCAGGAACACTGCTAGAGGGTGTAGAACCATTTGTTGTCATGGGTAAACAAACTTTGATCATTTTTAAACTTACTGTATTGTCTAATATCTTCCATTTGATGTATTTTGGATTTTATTCAAATTATGAAAAAAATGCCCTGCTTGTGTTACTTTTGTTCTGATTAATGAAGCTTAGAGTCAAATTAACTATGGTATGTGAAACACACAAGCTAATTTCTTACCACCCAAAACAACAAAAATTAACATTTTATTTTGGAAAACAAATGTTTCGGGTATGGCACCATTTTGTTTGTGCTCAGTTTTCTGTATCCATCTGCTTTAATCTTTTAAGGCAAAACAATTAGGCTCTTTCTAAATAAGTTTTGCATTATTACTATGCCCTTGATCCATTTTGTAAATTCAACAGCTGGTGGTTTAAAGTCAGTTGTTCATAAATGCTTTAAATCCTCTGGATAGAAATAGCAGCATATTTATTTAGGCTTTACTTTTGTATCTCAAAGAGTAGAATTTAGAGAATATAATAGAAAGTCCCTTTATTGTTCCACAATGGGGAAATTCTGGTAAAATTAAACAGTAAAACTCCAACATTATGCAGCATACTTACAGTGTTGTTATCTTGATGATACATCATTGATTCTATACAGAGAGTAGGCCTGCTCATATTTTCAAAAATAACAACTAATTGTTCTTTCTTAACATAAATCTTAAAAGCTAAAAAGTCTAACTCCTATCATTGGCTCTTTGCCTCTTATCAGACAACCTTCGAGCTCAAACTTGGTCCCAAGGTTCCCTCAGCGTCTCGTGTCCAGGTTTTGATGTCCTCCAGGAACTCTTAGTCAGACACACTCGCCTACCACATGTTTATGAAGCTTTAGCTGCTCTTCTGCTTGGGAGGAATACGAGTCACCATACAGAGGGAGAGGTGGGTTCCGATGTATGCTTGTGAATTCTCCTCTACTGTATCTTCCAGTTTTTTCTTTTTTATCAATGTTGCATTGAATCTTACGTATAGGTCAGCTTGGATGATGCTCTGCAGTCTTTCATTGAGAGCCAGCTGGAAGGTCCTGTTCAGCAGCTTTGTGTTGAAGCTGCTACAATACTTCTGGAGCTGCTTAAAGTCATTATATCTCAGGTTGAAAGAAGAGCCTGCATCTTCCAGAATATTTGATATTATTAGAGACGTGCAATAAAGGGAATGTTTGTGTTGTTTTTTTTCAAGCCTTTTTCTGCAGATCCATCTGATGGCGATGCACCATGGGAGGTGCAGCTAACGGCCAGTGTGATGCAGTTCCTTTGTCTCCTCCACAACCAGCGACCAAGAGACTCTCTGTGGACATCACCTGACTTCCTGCGTTCACTCGCTAGCATTGTTTATCCTGTGGAGATTTCTGAGGTGTGTTGTGTTACTGTGATTAGATCACACTGTCTTCATGTTGTAATATCTATGGTTTAATTCCTATTTTCTGTCTTACCTCAGGTTAATCTCACAACAAGTGAGGGAGAAAACGCACCCAGCACTCATCAAACCAGGAAGCCAGTGCTCGATTTTATGCGTATTCTGCTGATGGACAGTCTTCTTAATGTGTCTGCAGGCTCCAGCACACATCCTGTAGTTCTGCTGCTGGAGGTAACTTCAAATCCGACATAATCGCTCACAGAGTTAAACAGAAACAGTAAATGCTTGGATCATTTGGGACTTTTAATGATTTCTTGGATCCATTTTTCCAGGATAGAATAAATATGCAACACAGCTTCGGCCTATTTTAAATAATTAGATTTCATTAGATATACTGATAATGGCTCAATGCACATTAAAACCGATATTTGGAGAAATTGTTCTTTTGCAATTTCTTTTATTAATGTGTGGAAGAACGATGGTATTTAAACGTTTTAACAAAGGCTATGCTGTGGGTGTATGAAGGACCATAGTGGGTGAAAAACTGATAGAAATAAAACGAGCCTATTTTGTCTTTTTAAAATATTATGTAGAAGTAAATGCTTATTAAATCACACTCCTATGTAATCTGTCCTGTTTTTTACATCTCAGCTATATAGCTGATTTTAACTGTGATGTATCAGCAGTATTTTAACATTTCTATACTGTTAATATGTCTTCCATGGAACAGTTCCTCTATTAGCGGGAGAAAGTCCTCCATCTTCATCATTTCACCCACTTTGTGCAAATCCCCAGAATGATGCTACCACTGCCATAACTGACACATTCTATAGAGTTATCAGATCCAAATGCATACAAGCATTGATCTTATGTTTGTATATTGATATATCTCAGCTTTTGTGTCATCTGAACACTTGAACCCTCAACTCACAAAATGTAGATTTCCCTGTGGGTAGTTTTAAACTATAGATGAGCTTAATTACACCTAACCAACAGACAAGTGTAATTTAACATAAATGTGTCTCTATTAGGAGTGTCATTGCCTAAGCCTTTAGATATAACTAAATATTAAAACTTAGACTAATACAGAAATTCTTTGATAGTCAATTGTTACTTTTAATATTGGGGTATGTAAAGATCTGGCCTGCGCAGTATTTACCTTGTAGTATTGAAAATGCACATCCCAGTCAGGATCAAGTGATGCTCACAACCACAAATGTGCTTCTGTTAATAATGACGCCTCTTCAGTTTAATACAATTCTGCAAAGCTCTTTTTTCTCCAGAAGGTGCCACTCTATGCTCATTTACTAAACCAGTCAGTGCTATATGTTTCTTATGAAGTTATTCACAATCAGGGTGCAAGAAAGCTCAAAAACTGCTCAAACCCTCATGAGGGTTTTCATCGTAACAAGCTTCACCTGCAATGCATTTACAATCATCTTTACACCTGATGTTTAGTGAAAGTTTTTTTTTTTTTCTGGTCTAGTTTTACCCTGATGGCATGTCTCCCGAGCAGAGACAGAGTTTTCAGTCTGAGCTGGTGGAGCTAATCATGAACATCATCCATGTGCTCAGCCATGAGGATGATAACAACACCCACCTCACCTCACAAGGTAACAGAAGAACAACTTATTGTTCTTCATCTAAATCTGAAATAAACAGAAATAAAATTATCATAATTTTTTGCCTTTTCTGTTAGACAGCAATCAGAGACCTGAGGGAGAAATGGGTACCCTGATGGAGAACGTGGTGCTCTTCGCTAGGATTTTGCTGCAGAAACTTCACAATGGAATATTTACCGGAGATTCTGAAATTTTACTCGACTTCCTTGCAGATCAGATCATGGTGGTGAGATGGAGACAAATGGCAATTACAGTACAGACTTCATTAGATGAATTCAAAGTTACATGTTCTGGGTCTATTTGAATACCCTTTTACCCATATTTGGAATTAAAATTGATATTGACCAGAATTTTGAAGCATTTTCTGTCCTATTGTTCTGTTCATTACTTCTAGGCTGTGGGGAAGGCCCATTCTCAAAGGGAGAAAACGGTGTCCTCTCTGTACTCGTGCACCAATAAAGTCTTGCTTTACTTTCTGTCCCAACCACGACAATCCCAAGAAGGGAAAGAAAATGTCATCAGGGCATTGCAGACCTTCATGGAACGATGGGATGTGTTCATGGCGACCTACAACTCTAACGTGAACTTCATCACCTGCCTTCTTCACTGTCTGTTACAGATTCGCTCCGGCAGGTAACGGAAGGATTGAAATCCAGACATGAGCCAGCGTTAGATTATTACTGTATGATATTCCCAAATAAAAAGTCCCTCCTTTCACAGTAGCAAAGTGTTTTTAATTTAATTTAAGACAGAAATATATGTTGCTGCACATAGATTAACTTGCGAACAATTATGTAACACAGCTCCTAAATTTAATTTTGTTTTTAAATTTTTTAGTATGGCTTTGTTGCCTGTCTGTAGAATTAGAGATCCTTTCTTGTCGCACTGTAGTGAAATTTAGGTGTAATCGCGGCGAAGTTTCAGGCAAATAAAAGCATGCTTATACACACAGTTAAGAATATAAATATTACAGTAAAAACTTTTTTTTGTTTTAAACAGAACCCTTTTGGTTCCCTTGATATTTGTTTTAATTTTGTATAGTTGTTCCTGTACTGACCAGCCTTTTTATTTGTGTTGATTTAATATGTCATTTAAACTAAATGTAGCAGAATAATTTTTTTGATAAACTATCTGGTCCCTTTTTAAAACAATTGTAAACCAAAATAACAATGAGCATCAATTTGGATTCAAACCTTGGTAGGCTCTTAATACCACAAACTGTACCATGCCTTGTTGACTCTTTAATGATTGTATTTTACTCCTCGATTGATTAGCAAATTGAATGCACTTTTTCTTTATAGCTATCCAGAAGGTTTCGGATGTGTGGCAAAAAAGGGTCACATCAAAAAGTCGAGCCCATTAACTCACAGAAGTAAATCCCCGTCCACCCTCAGCAATGGAGCAGACATCACAACAGGTTTAATTTTTTTTCTTAAAAATTTTCAGTATCTGTCTCTTTACAAAATATAAAAAGTTGTTTTTTATATGGTTAATTTTTTTTTTAGGTGATAAACAGCTGGTGTCCTTAGCCGAGGCCTGCTGGTCAAAGGTAATATCAGAAAGGCAGCACATGCTTGAAGAGAGCTTCAAGGTTGACATCTCAGCAAGCGCTAGGATTGAGACAAAACCTGTGAGCATGACGGAAATTAGTCCTCTGTGGGAGGAGATGGCACACAAGGCCTGGCAGCTATATAAAGGTAAGCTTGCACTTGACAGAAAGCAGCGAGGGTGATAAAGGCTGACTGAGTGCTATTCATATTTTTTATGTCTTCTCAGACTCTCAGAAGATGAAAGCAGCCAGTAGATCTCAGAGGACACTTAATGCCATCAGTAGTGTTCTTCGCTCTGCTTTGGGCAAAGGTCAAGAGTCAATAAAAACAGAGGTGTGTTCTCCATCTTTATACAAAAACATTTTTTTTACTGCAGAGGAAATATGCTAAAGGGTTTTCAAATGAGGTCAGCTATTTTTTTCAATTGTACAGAAATCTTTCCTTCATGATAAAGTGGTATGAAAAAAAGATCATCATTAAACAAAAGCCGGAAAGTCACATAGGAGACGCAGAAAACATACGAAAGAGGATGCTTTGGTCTGTTGTTACCAAACTAGGCTATTAGTCATGCTTTCTAAAAAGTTAACTGCACATCACTGTAAGGATAGGCACACATTACTGGGGCATCATCTTGTGTGTTTTTTTTTTGTTTTTTTTTTGCTGTGACCAGTGTTAGGCAAAGCCGTATACAGTTATAGTTACACAACTGCAAAAAATGTAAATCTTAGTAATTTTTTTCTGAAAATAAATGATTTTTTTTCCTTAAATTGAGCATGTAAGTGAGACACTTTGCCAATGGAATAAGCCAATTTACATTTAAAATAAGAAAAAAACTGCAGTCTCTTATTTCAAGAGCATAATATCTATGTATCTTATTTTAAGGGTAAAAAGAGTCTTTCCATTGGCAGATCATCTTATTTTTCCTACTCAAATTAAGGGTAAACACACTTATTTTAATAAATTTAACTCATTTTCAGAATATTTTTGCAGTGCAGCTACTTTCCCAAACAGTTACAGAGTTAGTAATTCAGTTACTGTACAATCAAAGTTACTATGCAGTTAATTTTTAAGTTCTTAAATGTTGGTAAATCTGAATGTCTTTCCTTTTATTAAATCTTTAACTATAACTACAATTTCAGTTATTATATATAACATGTTAGAAATTAGTTAATAAATTAGATTATTGATTAACTACTGAAAGTCAAAACATAGATTGCAATATTAATTGTTAATTGTTAAATTTGTTGATAATAACTAACTAACTACATATACGTTGACAGACTTCAAAAGAGATATAACACAAAAAAAATATTTTCAAGCCAGTAATATAAACAGCATATACAGGAATCACATCATTTCAGAAAAAACAACAACATACAAACAAAAACAACAGGTAGACCATAGGCCCAGTATCAACCTTTGGGGCTAATGCAGGGCAACTTAGGTCAACTTTAGGTCTTTGTCCACACAGGACACACTTGTCTCTCTATTAACTTATCAGGGGTTGTTACGTTCTCCCATGTGCCTTACGATCCCAAAAGACTACACCAAAATCCCATCGAAAGACACATATCTGCTTGTGCTGTGGGCCGTCCAGCCCTGCGGGAGGTGGGGGGGTTATTTCTTTAAATAGATTTGGATTATCACAGCTGATTGCCCCTGAGTGGGCTTTGTAATTGATATCTGTTAGGCCCATCCATGGGAACACTAGCCTCAGCACACTGTTTGCTGCTGAAGGTTAAAGACGCCTTTATTGTTGTAGGGTTTTTTTTTTCCTCCCCCCCAAAAACACGTGGCCCACATCATTAGTTCCCCCACAACGCTTAAGACGTTGAGCCATCTGGAGCAGGGAGCAGGGACATATTACTCAGGCACACAGGCATGAAATTACAGCGTCTGTGTGTCTGTCTTGCACTCCCCAAAAAAGTGTATGTGTACGTTCTTGTTTGTGCATGTCTCTTGCCCACAGAAATCATGTTGGCAATTACAGTGGTAGCAATCTGATGAAAACATTACTCATTTGATGTTGTTCTTTATCATATCAGTTCCTGACAGGCTATCAGAGAAGGTGATGAATTGTTTTTTTCTAGCTGAGACGGAGTGAAGAGGATGGCGGAGGGTTTTATTTCTTCATCCTGGCACAGTTTTGAAGCCTAAACGTTGCAGAATCTTGCTTGTGTTTAAATGAGAGGTGTGGAAATGATCACCTGCTATGGTCAGCCGCACCTCTCTCTTCTCATTCATCCCCCACTGTGAAGTTATAACAGCCATTATTTAATTTGTGGATCATAAACTTATGACCTCCATTCAACAACTTGTGAGCTTATGAAGTGCGGTAAAGTGTAACATAGTCTCTTGATCCAGCTTATGGTGGCTCTCAACCCGCTCCTGTTGAAACGAGACCTTGATTGATCATTTCACACCTGTCCTATATTCATTGTAAAATTTTTTTTTTTTTTTTTTTAAAGCAAACAAATCTGGTAAAAATTAAAATGTGTAATGACTTGGTTTACAGGGTATATACCCTGAACTGATTCAATTCCATCCATCCATTTCTGACACGCTGGTGCCTATCTCCAACTGTTGGGGCGAGAGGTGGGGTACACCCTGGACAGGTCACCAGTCCATCGCAAGGACAAACAACCATGCATACCTAAGGAAAATGTAGAGAAGCCAATTAACCTGTGGGAGGAAGCCAGAGTACCAAGACAGAAGCCACGCATGCACAGGGAGAACATGTAAACTCCATGCAGAAAGGCCCCAGACTGGCAATTGAACCCAAAACCTTCTTGCTGCAAGGCAGCAGCAATACCCACTGCCCCACTATGCAGACCATGATTCAATTCCGACGTATTGTAATCTTAAGTAGCAGTCCTTCGGTTTTTAAGTAACACTTGTGCACTCTACCTTTTTTAAAGGACGCACCTTTTGTAAAAGTCCTTTTCAGATTGACACAATTATTCTGATATGCTTGGATTTTCAGCTTTCCGGGAGCTATGGAAAGGTTTAAAACCAAAAGTAAAACATTTATAACATCCAGTTTAGCTCTGAAAAATTTGAAGCTAATAAAACTAAATGAAAAGGAGTATCAGAGTAACTCTAGTCTGGAGGATGTGCAGACAGCCAGTTTTTTCCAGCTGTGTGTTTATTTATTTACTTTCTAATTGTATAGGATTTATTTTAAATTAAAAGCAGAGTAGGTTGCAAAATAATTCTCAAAGTTTTTTTTTAAGTTAAACTAAAGCTGGCATTTTGACAGGGGGTCTTTTTAGAGCACCTATTTTTATAACCATTTCAATAGATCTACTGTAGGTAATGAAGGAGGATATAAAACTGATAAGCAGACTTTGTCCTCAGTTAAGCTTCAGTGCAATCCTTCCAGAGATTTATTTCATCAGCGATTGCAGTTTCCGTAATCATATCTGTGTCCTCATATTAGAAAGATAATTAACAGCACTAATGATCACGTTAAGTTCATTACACATTCACTGCCAGCTCAGAATGAAGTTGACATTATGTTGCCTTATCGTCAAAGGTGGCGTATTGTTGGGAAGTCATTAAAATGGAAATGAGCGCGATGTTCTGATGTTAATTGCAGAGGGAAGAGATGAGTTATGTATTTAATGCAGCATTTTAAAAAGCCAATGAGGTTCCTATCTGCTAAATAGGGTAATTAATGCTATATATTACTTATATTTGTCCAAATGAAGGAATGAAATTAGAGACGATGACGCCAACTTGCTGTTTGTCGCAACGCGCCTCTAGTCTGCAAACTTCATTATTCCTTATTTTTCTGTAATCTCACTTTAAATTCATCTTCTATTTTCCTTCCCGGTGCAACTTCTCATTTGGATAGGCAGCCGGCCATTTAAGAAAACAATTTGTTTTTTTCAACAAAGAGCCTGTCAAAGTTTGTTCACTTCTATGAACACGTTCACCGTGTAACTCATCTAAAACTGATGCATCTGCTCCCCTGAAGTGTTTTTCCTTTATTGTGCTGCTTTGAAATAAATGAATAATTTTTTTAATCCGTTTATTTATTCCACCCTATGCAAAAAAAAAGTATCATTTGTAAATAATACTCGATATAAAGAGTTACTGCGCACTCGCTCACTCAATTAAACGGCTTTCCTGGGTCAGCTGTGAAGATGGACACATGTTGTTTCAGTAGTCTCCAAGCGAACACCGCTGTGATGATGGGTTTAATGAAGCAGTTAACAGTCGGAATATGATCCCAGTGTGTCGAACAAGAGCATTGTGCAGTGTCAACACACGGCTCTGTTTGGGGAGTTTTTCATTGCTTTTCTCTTTTAATCGACCTTAAAAAAAAGAAAAGAAAAGCACCCGCAGACACACACACACACAATAAAGGTGCTCATAGAAACTAACCTTGGCTCTGGCTGTGGAGAGGATCGGTGATATTAATGTTAATGTTAATTAGATCACACCAACAAATGATTATATTTGAACACAAGGTTATTGTAGGACTGTAGCCACTAGCTTGTTTTGCCCAGTGAATGCAATTTAACACAGATGTAATTGTATGAATGCATTGTAATTGCATGAGGAGACAACAACACCATTATGCGTGTTTGCATTTATTTGTTTGAGAGTGTGTGCGCAGTCTTTGCTTAAACGTATCACTGTGCTTTATCTCTTTTTATTTGCAGCTGTTTTTGCTCTTTTTTTTCTTTGCAGGAGTTTCTGTCGTACATGGAGGGTCATCGCCAAAAAGGCCACAGTATGTTTGAAAACATGAGGACAAACCACTTACAGGTTGGGCATGAAATCTGTCCTTTAGGGTTTTTTTCCAGACACCCAAAAAATTGGTTTCTATCCAGTGATTTTTGTCACTTTTTGTTTCCTCTCTGCCCCAGATGCAAACTGCCATGTGGGAACGTGTGAGTTCTCAGTGGCTGCATTTGGAGGCCGAGCTGCTGAGGGAGAGAGCAATATTCGGCCCAGGCCCTGGGGTGCTGCTGAGCAAAGATTGGGTACAAGATTCTGCTGAAGGACCCAATAGGACCAAGCTACGCATACGAAGAAAAGCCATGAGACAATCCAAACGGGTATAGCCTCTCAGATTAGACTCGAGGTCCTACTCAGAACAACAACTGGGGCTTGCAACAGTATTCACTCATAATTATCTTTACACATTGTGACCCTAAATATCTCTTTATATCTTATTTGTAAACAGTAGACCAACACAAAGTACAACTACAGAAGCAGATAGACCATTTTTATATTTAAACATTAATACTATTTGCATTCTTTAGTTCCAGTGCATCTGAAAATTTAGGTCTGAACTTTGATGGGTATGTGTTTTATACTTAATTATTTTCTAGCTGACTGCTTAGAGTCAGACTGTCAGATGAGAAGGAGAATCTCTAAATCTGTGGGGTTTTTAGCTCCTTTTTAGCTCCCTGCTGAATAACAGCATCCACAGCATGACACTGAAACAACAAATGCATGATCCTCCAAATAGAAGGGGATCATCAAGCCTCTGGTTCCTTCTTTGATAAATGCTCTTCTTGTCTGGTGTATCATCACCATGCATTAAAACCATGTTGCCTTTTCCTTTCATTTTAAGTTATGTTTTACTTTTTGTTGATTTATCTCCTAAAGTTCCGAAGATATACATTGGATATTGTGGTTGTAATTTGAGATATTATTTTTAAAGTTTTAACTTTGATTTTGTGATACTTAAAATTGCCAAACGTCTTTTTTTTTACTGCAGCTGCTTGGAGCACTGGGTCTAGGTTTAAGATCTGAAGAGACCTATAATGGGGCAAATGATGATACAGGTAAAGAAGATTTAAAGTTTAGAATCAGCTTAAAAATCTGAAATTTGCTTGCATTTTGACATTTCCCCACAAGATGCCACTAAAACCTACATATATTATCATTCCAATCTCTCCTTGGCCCCTCAAAAAGGAATTATTTAATGTATTTTTTACAGAACCAAAGATCTTGTGTGACATTGACACAGAGGTTAAAGATGATGAAGCAGAGGGACAACAGAGCTGTGAGCGTCTGACGTTTTTCCCAGCTTTGAATGAGACACCGTCAATCGTGGAGGGTTCGCCTGACCTTTTCACCCCTGAACCCTGCTCAAGCACACAAGACTGCCCTGACATGCGGATCATCCTCCAAGAGCTGCACTCTGGAGAGAAGGTACTGTGGCGTTGGATGGCGTTTCGGTCTGCCAACTCTAAATACAAGTGCATCTCCTCCCAACTCTTCTAATACTCACATTCATAATTATCTGATGCAGACGAAGGGATTCCAGAAGCTCAGCGCTGCTATCAGGACTTCATCTTTCCTCATTAGTAAAATATTTTAATGTTGAGGCTCAGCACAGCGAGTTAGAAACCATGCGCATGTTGACAGGGCCCTCTGATCGCTCCGGCAACCAGCCGCGTCTTTTAATGTTTCTGACAGAAGTATTAATAAAAGCAGTAGGAGGTGATGCAAGCTGTCTTCCATCCGCTTAGTGAGTGTGTGATGTGTGCTGGTGTGTCCTGTTGTCTTGCAGTGGTTCAGCACTCGTCTCCCGCTGAGCTTCTTGTCAAATGAACACAGTCATTAGCTCTGAAAAATGCACACACACTCACAGCCGAACATTCACACAAAGGGAGACCCACTCATAATTAGCTTGCCAGAGCCAATAGTGTGATTATGGCAATAATGTGTGTGGGGAGAAATCAATGGTCTGACATTAGGCTCTCAGTCAATAAAAGTCCTCCTCTTCCCTCCTTCCACATCGCCAGCTAAATCGCTTGCAGGCTGATAGTGCGTATCTGTCTGGACCAAAGATAAGGAAATCAGTTTATTGTTTTGGATTAAATTTTTCATAAAAAATTCTGCTAGTTTAATCCGCTTGCTATGTGTGACAGCATGTGCTGTCTGATGTCATCTTAAACGATATAGTCCAGTGAGGACTCACTCACCTTGACTCCTGTTAAACACCTTCACATGATAAGTGATCGCATCCATCATAGTGTGTTTCTGCGTGCTTTAAGACAACAGCTTCTGATCACTTATCAGCTTTGCTATTGTGTTTGTGGCAGTGATTAATTCTCCTAATAAAGGCCAAGCAGAACCTCCTCCTTGTCCACAAAGTGTGTGGCTGCGTGTCTGGGGGAAGGGACTTTGATTTGATTAGTATAAATTGTGGGGGCCCTCCGGGTTTGTTGGGACCCCATATGTTTTTTTGGGTGTTTTTTTTTTTTTTTTTAGGATGCTTGCCTCCCAGTGGACTCGCAGCATTAAGCCACCCAGGTGCATCCACTCATTGTGAAATCAAGAGAGACAATAAGATTAGCCACGCATTATCACGATGCAGTTAGCATTAGCTACAGCCAGCGCTGAAAGCAGTATGTGGATCCACTGTGGCCCAGGAGGAAACGGGGCTGGTCCTTCTCCTACCCATCAATCAGATCTGATAATGAAGTGTTCAACTGTGTCTTTTTAATAATGATTAAAACGATCAATCAAGTAAAGAAGTTCCTGCAGGTCTGCCGTGTAATGCCCTCAGAGAATAATAATGCTCTTGTGTGCACAGAGCTTCCTATATGGGGCTCAGTGTATAGACACATCTGTTGGTACCCTCAATAAAGATATGCATGAGACCTTAAAAAGATAAATCTTTGTTGCAGCTGCATTATCTCAAACTAACTGTGTACTTTTCCGTCGAAGTGCATGTATTTAGTGTGGGAAAGCAAAATCGCCCTTTAAATCTGACTTTTAACTGAGTTCCATCTCTAGTAGCCAGGCTAGACAATCCACTTTCATCTCAGCACCTACAGGATGGTAGCACAGGGGAAGAAAATGTTTAAAGTGCAGCAAAGAGAGGTGTCTTTGGATCCCCACATGTTTACATTTGTCTGTTTATGCGTACTGGTTTTGTGAGTGATGCCAAAAAAAGAAGCAAACATAAGCTTAGGAAGTTTACCAGATATGTCCTGAGACGTTTACTGAACTGTTGGTCTGGTCAGACGATTAGTTTGGAGCTATTCTGCATCAAAAGCTTGAGATGGGTTTGGGGTAAAAAACACAGGATAATAAAGTAGAAAAACAGCTGTTTTCCTGGGAATCTAATTGGAGTGTATGTAGCATTTTGAAGAAACTTCCAATACCATTGAACCAAAACTGAAATTTTATTTAGGTTTTTCAACACAATATTCCTTAAGAACTAAAATTCTGAATAGGTAAATCAGACTCTGTCATGTTATTTCAGTTCTTACCCCTAGAGGTCAAAGATCTTTCGGTCTGCGTGACTCAAGCTTATGAAAACCTTTAGGAGAAGACTGAGTTCTGTCATATCCGCAAAACCTATTATTTTAAGCCTTCAGATTCATACTTAGCAGAGTTGTGAACAGATTTGGTGTCTATGTGTTTCCCATTGTGCAGATACAGGCAAAGATGTCTGTGGTGATGGTGAGTGGCCTCCGTGTGACTGAAGGATTGCTGCTCTTTGGGAAGGACTGTCTGCTCTTGTGTGAGGGATTCACTCTGACCTCTGCTGGAGATGTTTGCTGCAGGACACACTTCCAGAGCAGGTACATCAACCCTCCTAGTGCTGCAGTTTTCTTAGGTCAACATAATGTAGTAAACAGGGCTTCTTCTATGTCCACATCTGCCAGCGTAAAGGATTCCTTTATTTCCACCATGCTGAGCAAAGAGCTGCCGTCAGCCACTTGCAGGCGCTGGCTTTATGAGGATATTAAGGAGGCTCGCTTCATGCGCTTTCTTTTAGAGGTGAGTCATCAGATTAATCTCATTGATATTTCCTCTTATCACAACAGCACAAATTTGAAGATAATTTTTCCACGTATTACACATTGGTTAAAAGAAACTTGGAGCATAATCAACACAAGAAAAAAAAAAAAATATATATATTTTTCATTGAATTTTATTGATTTAATTTTGAAGAAATTTACCTCTGCATTTAACCTATCCCCTTGGGGAGCAGGGGGCTGCCATTGAGAGGTGCCCGGAGAGCAGTGTGGGGTTAAGGGTCTTTGCTCAGAGTGGCAGTCTGTGGGAGTGGGGCTCGAACTCAGAACCTCAGGATTCCAAGCTATATGCCCCACAAAGCCACCACTCCTGCAATAGTCTATACATGAATCTATATTAAATACTTACAAGTTATCTTTTGTTGCTTTTTTAATCTTTACATGAAAAATTATTTCTTGAAACAGTTCAAGAAAAATTATGAACCTTTTAAAAAATGAAAAGAAAAAAATCCAAACAAAAATTAAACAATTAAAAAATATAAACGAAAATTAAGAAGTCACATTTCCATATTTTTTCAAAACCCTTTCCTTGATTAATTTAAAACCATTTGGAATAAGGAAATATAATAAAATAATAAAAAATGTGGAAAAAGTGCAGCTGTTTCAGATGCTCCACATGAACATAAGATAACAAATATTATCATGTTCTTGTTAAAAATCCAATGTATCTGTCTGCTAAATCAGGACAATGCCATTGAGATTTTCATGAAAAATGGACACTCTGCATTCCTTGTATTCCTGAATAAAGACCACGTCTCTGCATATAAAAGGTAACAAGGTTTGAATTAAACATGGATGGTAAAGGTTTTTGTCAGACAATTCACTTTGACCTTTAATTTTTTTTTCTTCAGACTTAGCACTGTGGTGCCAGCATTAAAAGGCAGAGCAGTTGCTGAGGTCATCGCTAATGCAAAGTAAGTACTATCTTTTTTTATTTCCTTATAAACTCACTACTGTCCTTTTGATGATGCTGGTAGAGTCTAACATTGAGACTTCCTAAATGCTCCAAGGTGAAACACTTGGCATCCAGCTGGCTCTGTCTGAGGTTAAAACTCATCACGTTGTAAAAAGAACTGCTTTTATTTGGTGTATCAGATCTGTTTTATTCGTGTAAAAAACACAAATGAATTGTTTAGAAATTCAAATGAAATGTTTTAGGACTGCTTTTAAAATTGCTTCTTCATTTTTAGTCAAATCAGTGATGGTTGATGAGTTCACTGTTCACTTCTTTGCGTTAATTCTCAGAACATCCTGGGTCAATGCAGCAACAGAATTTGGTGTCATCAATCCATCCCTATGCTCTCAGAGCTGCTGTCAAACACCACTAACTTGTCTTCCTGCTCTGTCTTTTCACTTTTCGTCTTCTCAGTGTTGGCTTGAGCAGATGTTAAAGGATTTCCTCTGAGATTTAACTTGGTGAGGTTTCCCATTTTTTCTACAAAATCAGGTACTTTAGTAAAAAGGTTATCAAACAGAGATAACTCCTGGAGTTGGTCCAACCGCTCCAAGGTGGGAGGCAGAGAGTTTAGCTGGTTCTGTCCAAGGTTGAGAGTCTTCAAGTTGCAGAGAAAACCCAGTGAGGATGGTAAGCCATCAGAGTTTAGGCAGTTGTCTGATAGATTGAGGTGAGTAAGTCCCACCAACTTGCCTATGGACTCGGGCACAGACTCCAGCTTGTTGGTGTGTAGATCAAGCCATTTGAGTGATGTCAACCTCCCAATGTCATCAGGAAGCCTCTTGATATAGTTGCGACTAAGGTTCAGCTCAGATACCTGGATTAGATTGAGACATCTTGGGGCAGTGGTTAATCTCATCTTGCTAAGTGTAAGTCTATAGCTTCCGTCCATAGTTATCTTCAATTGTTTCCTGGCAAACTTCATGGTCACCTGTTCTTTATTTGTTTGCTTTTTTTTGGGCATCGTACTGAAAAGCAAAGAAAAGCATCCGGCAGATTACTTCAGCTTCCTGTTTTTGACATCTGCTCTTACACTTTAATATTTCATTATAACCAAATTTAATATTTGACAAAAATAACTTAGTAGATAAAACAGCCATAATGAAAGGAATACATCTGTCTAAACCAACATGGCCCATGTGAAACAGTAATTACTTTCTAACTATGTCGTATAATTTTCAGAAAATCGGTACTCACCTTAGGCTTGATAATTGATGGACCTGTAGAGTCAAGAAGTGATTTAGTCCAAGATGTTTGATAACAGGAAAGTGACTGGAAAAAACAAAAATAAATGAAGATATTTAGAAAAATCAACAACTATATATTAGCCTTAAAGGGGTTAGGAAGCAGTTTCCAAGGCTCTCGACACAGTGAAAAGGAGAAAACATGGAAAAGTAGGGCATCTTTCTGACTGGCTGGCCAAAAACGCCTTTTCACGTAGGCCTAAAAGATTTATTCAGGAGCTCCAAAAAACTCAGGAAAAACATCTAAAGCTCTAAGGACCTCCCTTGCCTCAGTGAAGGCCAGATTCAACAAGACACTTGGGAAACGAGGTGTCATAGGACAAACAAACGCTCACCTAAAACAAAAACATAAAACAGAACATCCCACTGGCAGTGAAACATTGTGCTGGTAGTATGATGGTGTGAGGTTGATTTGCTGCCACTGGAAAATTCCCATTATTAAAGAAACAATGAAATCTACCTGAATAATCCTGAAAGAGAATTTCTGGTCAATCTATTGATAAAATTAGGCTGTTACCAAAGTTTGATTAAGAAGCCGATCTGATTCAAAAAAGAAAATTCCATGATGAATTAAGGTTTTGCATTGGACTATTCAAAATACAGATTTAAATCAAATTGAAATGCTGTGGTGTGACTATTAACAGGCCAGTTATGCTTAAAAATCCCCTAATGCGACTGAGTTTAAACAAGTTAGATAAATAAATTGGGCCAAAATTGTGATAGCCATCAGAACTGCTTCTAGGTAGTTGTTACCACTGAGGGTAGCAATGTCCACTTAAAGGTTTGAGGGTTAAAATAATTTTTTTTTTTTTTTTTTTGCACAGGACGAGGTTAGTGTGAATATGTTTTTTCATCATTTGAACATGTTTTTATTTCTTATTTACTGAGCATATTTTTTTTATGCTAGAAATAGAAGACCAGAAGAAACCTTTAATTGGACATTACTATTTTTAAAGCACCATGTCGGATCTACAGCATGCGTACAGTACTCTATGAAATGAATGTGTTTTGTGTATGTTAATGTGTAACTACGTGCATGTTTGGCTGATGTGATTTATTCAAAGACAAGGGTCTTTGTATGGCCGGGGGCAGCGGGGAAAGCATGCACTCTGAGGAATGAGAAGTTGAGCAGCATGTGTGTCACAGCATTGTCTCTGCATTAGTGTGCTCACCCTCAGTTGCCCATGGGGCTATTTAAGAGCACTACTCTCTAATTAAGGCTAATGCAGGGGAACAATAGGAGTGAGGCGACAGCAAGGAAACACAGTGCTCTGATGTTATCAACACTCAACTGATTTTGTTTTTGGGCTCTTTTCGATCATAAATAGCGTGTGTGTATTTGGACAGTCACCCATGCAGTGTGTTATATGCGTGTTTGTGTACACAAAGAGTCAAATCAGGACTTTGATAAATGATAGTTGGGGAATGTTGGGAGTTTAATGAGGGCTTTGCTCTTCTCCCCTCCCTGTCTAAAAGAGCAAGGTGTGTTTCTGTTTGTGTCTGCGTAACACCCCAAGGCCCTCTCTTGCCTCATTCATCATCCTCAGGATGAGAGAGGTTATCTGCTGGTGCTTGTTCCTATTATAACCTCCTATAGGAAACTATTGCATGAAATTATTGCCTCCAATTAGATAACACAAACCGAGCCAAATGCAATGATTGATTTAGTGCAGAGCTACAAAATAATTTGGTCGTTGCTAGACGGTGGATACATTTAAAATACAAACTCACCTTTTAAACTAAATATTTTTTTTTTTTAAACAGATATTTACACTTAAAAAAATACACAACCTTTTTTTTTGTCTTGGGTTAAATCAAACTATCATTTTTAGATTTCAGTTAAAATTACCAAAATTATTTCTCTTGATAAATGTTAGAATAAAATTTGCAAGCATTGCCGTTTTTAAAGGTCTTTGAGGCACTAATGGGCCTTTTTGTAAAGTAAGTAGGTAGCCAGAAGAAAGGCAAAGAGAACAAGAAACATCTTATTTGTACCTGGAACTGAAATCAAGCTGGAGACGGCTGCAGTGAGGGATGGTTGCATGGCAAATACCTGTGACATAGCAGAGATTTTTGCATCCTTCTACATTTTTTTCCAAGTAGTTTCTATAAATTTTGGACCTTTTTCGAGATAAAATTGTGACTTGTTCACACACATTGTTTTGATTCTGTCTTGGTTATAATTTTTTTTAAAGCCACTTTCTAAGTAATGTGTCTGTTTGTTGCTAACGCTCATTGTGCATTTAGAAGTCCAGTTTAGGCCCAAGCTTTATCTTTCAAGCTCATGTCTTGGGTTGTTGTTTTTAATATTACGACCCTATGTTCTTTTATAATGATGCAAACTATTTTCCTCCTACTCAAAACATGCACACAGTATGACGCTGCTACCCGGTACTTTTTCGTTGACATAGTATTTGCTGGCTTGCATGCTTAACCCTAGCCCCAATGTGTGTTGTTGGTAATATATCTTTTTATGTTTTTTTTACAAAAATGGCTCAGTGTTGCAATGAAATGATGACAGCGGTGATCCCTGTGAACTCATAACCTGTTATTTAAACTTGGGATTTACAAATCCAAGTCAGAATAATTTAATGTACATTTATTGATACATATTTAAATGAGACAGACTGTGTTTATGATGAAGTTTATAACAAAAGAATAAATGTTATTTTACATTTTATGAAATAATATTTTGTCAAAAGTTATTTAAACCCTTATCAATAATCAGTGGGATTTTTTTATTTGCATTTCAATAAACCCTTTATTTTATGGAAATTATATCTTTGAGATACATCATTGTTAAGGAGTTCCAGGTGTTTGGGGTTGGAATAATCAGTCAATATAGCTATAGATAAACCAATATAAACCTGAATCGGTCAGAGGTCTAGATAACACTGGGCTTAACCTTAACGGCTTAAAATTCCAGTCTGTGTCGAGAAGTCTACGCTCTAATAATCAATCATTACTGACAGTTCCTCAGACACGACTTAAGAGGAAAGGAGATCAGGCCTTCTCTGTTGTTGCTCCAATTCTGTGGAACCATTTACCTCTTCAAATTAAATCCGCCCATGCCTGGATCATTTTAAAACGTTTCTTAAATTTTTATTCTTTTAAATGAAGCAGTGTTTTTACATTCTGTTTGGTTGGTGTTGTTATCTTTTCTGTAAAGCACTTTGGTGCAGTTTTATACCTGTTTTTAAATTGCTATATATAAATAAATTTGACATTGACATTGACATTAACTATCCGCTTTAGGTTTTAAAGAAAACAGGGGAAAATATCTACAAAAGATTATATTATTTTTAAAATGTGTTTTGTGTTGAGCAAAATTTGATCATTTTGGTTATCCTACACACCCAAAATAGGAGGAGTTTTCATCAGACAGCAGAATTAAAAAAAAGCTGTTTATGCAATGCATTAAAATATTTAGATTTAACTTTACATTCATATCAAATTCAGCTGCAATTCTAATTCGAAATGTTTCACATAAAGGTTGTACTTTTTTGAATTTCAGCTGTTTTATTTTCCCTGTGTCCAGAATTTGATTAAGTTCTCAAAACACTTGAAATTTGAATGATGAACCCTCTTTATTTGTTTATTACTGTTGCTTAGCACTTGAGGTCCATTTAACTTTATGGCCATGTTACTTACTGTACAGTGAATTTTAACTGCTCCAATTCTGCTTTTTAGTTTCTGTTCTACTAAATATATGTTAAGATATTACAGACAAGGCAAAAATCCACGATAAGCTATGTCTTGTTTTCTAAGCTGTTAAGCAGGAAATATTTTGAAGGAATAAGTCGACTGGGTTTAACTAAACACCAAAATTATGTCCGTGTGAAATCCTTCTACCTTACGCTGGTGGAGATTCTCCTGCTAACTTACCTCTTTAACTGCTCCTACAGATATGTACACAAACTTCTTACGTCCTTAAAGCCTTAAAGTGCTGCTGCTCCTGCTGCTGCTGCTTCTCATCTCTGGCTTTGGTTAAATCTGGCTGCTAGGCAACAGGGCAAGCAATGCAATTGTGTGCTTGAAAGGGCTGCTCTGGCTCTATTGCTAATTCAAAGTGTTTGTTTGTATTGTGCTTCAGAAAAATGCCAGTGGTTGAAAAGACAGCCCTTGTCAAATGGCAGGTAAAGTAAAAACGCATGAAGCGTATCTCCACTACATGATAATAGTTAAATATTTTTACACTTAGAGTACTTTAAGAAGCTGTATTTTACAAGTTTGGTGTCCGTTTCTTGGTTTTGATTTTCTCTAGAAAGGCGAGATGAGCAACTTTGAGTATTTAATGCACCTGAACACTATTGCTGGAAGGACATACAATGATTTGATGCAGTATCCAGTTTTCCCCTGGATCGTGGCTGACTATCAATCAGAGGTAGAAACCAATACATGGTACTGCTGTTTTAGACCAGGGGTCTGCAAACTGAGGCTTTTTGGCTTCAGTCCCTCTCCTTTAACTTTGAACAGAAATAACATGAACTGAAAAAGTGTTTTACTATCAAGCTCTTTCCTTTCTGCTAATAGTTTTCCCAAAAAAAGTAATATTTAAAGAATGACTGATCTGTGTAATTTATTTCTGATTGTTTTATTAATGACCCTTTGGTTTATAATCATTGCAGTTCCCCATTCTTACACATTTTTATCATGCATTGGTTTTAACTAATTTCTATCATCAATAGACACTGGATCTGTCGAATGCCTCAACTTTCCGTGACTTGTCCAAGCCAATGGGAGCTCAGACAGAGAAGAGGAAACAGATGTTTGTGGAGAGATATGAAGAGGTGGAAAACACAGAGGATGAAGGTGTCTTTACTTTTTGTTCTTCTTCTTCTTCCTTTTTTTTTTCTTTACTGTTTTAATATGGCTGTCTCTCACTTACAGCTTTGTCAACACGTTGCCACTACTGTACCCACTACTCCTCTGCCATCATTGTGGCCTCCTTCCTCGTAAGAATGGAGCCCTTTTCCCACACTTTTAAGGCACTTCAGGTGAGGCCAAACATATATGGGAAGGTTGAAATTGAGAATTTCACGTTCTTTACACCTATAAGCTCACATGATACAATGCAACAAACAAATTAGAAAGTTTTGAGTTTTTATATATCTAGAAGCAGCTGATCCTTTAAAGTAATTTAACAAATTTGAAAAAAAGTGCTCAGACTTTCACTTTTCTTCTAAATGCACATATTTCATTTAACATAAACTGCTCCTGTCAATTGTATTTATAACCGTTTCACTTTGTCAAATGTTTTTCAAAATAAAAAGACTCAAAGAGGCCGGGCAATAAAACAGTAACAACGCATATTGCTATCAACAGCTAGTCATAATCAACAGAAAATAAATAGCATGTTCTGTAATGCTGCTGAAATCTGATGACAGCCACATGGGATTCTGGAGGATGAAGGTAAAATCCTTTACTCTCAACCTCTCCCGGCCAAGGAAGGTAAAGTGGCAGGGATGGCCTGTAGCAGGCATGCCACTGTGACACTATGGCCGTTTCTCAATTCACGAGAACGCGAGTACGTACTCGCGTCAAGTCCGTTCTTGGCGAGAACGCAGGAAGATCGGACTTGACGAGAACGCGAGCACGCAAGCACGTATGTGTATTGGAACAGAAGCGTACTCGTGACGTCATCACATGCAATGTTCTTAAGCGTTTCTTTAACAGTCAAAACTATTTATTCCCTACACAAAACATTTTGAAAACAATATTTTTAATTTCTAAAGCTTAAAAAACATTTTAAAAAATTACAGAAATTGGCCGAATTAAAGTAAAAAAACCGCCATCAGAACGAGCGGTAGTTCACACATAACTAGACAGAGAGAAGTGCACTACAGACGGGGTAAATTTAGCCCTGGCTGCGGTTACCCTCAGAGGTCTGCTGGTCACTCTGGTCCGCTCAACGTCGGACTTTTTTTTTAAATTTTGCACTAACTCTGTAAACAGGCCACACAGGGAGGCTTAAATGTATAATGTTATCGCCTCAAACGATTTCAAAACGTACTTTTGAAGAACAACAGCAGCAGAAAAGGGAATGTTTAACTTACCACTGTGGGCGCTGTCTCGAATCAAGCTGCGGCCGCGGGGCATTCTGGGGAAGCGGTCAGTTTGAAGAGCGCACAAGTCTGCTCTGATGCATGCTTGATAAAGAGGGCGGGGTGAGAACAACATCCGGGGATTTGGTGCGTTCTCGATCTGGCGTTCTCGAGAATTGGAACGGTACTCGGGCTGAGGCTGATGACGTGTAACGAGTACACGAGCACACGAGAACGCTCAAGAACGCATATTGAGAAACGGCCTATCATTCTAAACTTCTGAAACTGTCAAATAATTATTAAAGGTATCTTTGGTCTTAAGACATTACCAACTTCCATCCTTAACCCTTCCTCACTGTGTGACATAAGACCCTTTCTCCAAAATCTCCTCACAATCATTGTTTTCAATGCAGCTGACAATTGTATAGAACCAGCATTAATTTAGTACACAATAGTGTGTGGTTCTTCTAGTAAAAAGGTATAAAAGTACTCATACTTGTGCAAGACTTTACATCCATTTTTAAATAATAGTATCAAAGGCGATAAAGATTACAAGGAAAGCTTTAAACAATTTAAGAGAAATAAAATTAATTGCAATAAATATTGTCTACTTGACTTAATTATAAGTTGCTGTAATAGTAAATTATATACAGAAAACAAGTATACAATTATCTGCATGTTTTGTTTGGATTAATGGAACATTTGAAGTCTGTTTTGTGTTGTCTTCGAAACAAAGTGCTCTGGATTCTTATTGACATTCATCATCATGTTATTTTTAAAGTTATTTTCCAACATTAGTTTGCTAATACCATGGATTTAATATAAGCAATTTTCAACCGTCTACTTTTTAGTCTGAAAGCAAATTATAGATATTTTTAATATATATGCAAATAATTACAAACAGCACATAAAAGAAGCCCATCCAAATAGCCACAGATGTTGGCAATTGAAAGTCGAGCATCCGGTTGATTATAATGAAAAGGCATGCATATTTGATAGTCTGAATAAAGCAATAAAGATGTTCATCTGGTGAACTGGGAAGCCTTTTTGTCTTCTAAAGCACATAACGGGCTTGCAGTAATATCCATAACTGAATTTGCATCTTTAACTGAGTTTACTGCTGTATATGCTATTTTCATTCATTGAGGTAATTGTTTTATTTCAAATTACATTCCTTCTCATGAGATTTGCATTGGAATTATAGAATTTTACATGATGATGAAAAGCGTTCTTCTAATAGCAGCACATATCCAGTGCTTATGTGAACAATGTAATATTTGGTTCATTTCAGAAAATTACACTGTTTCACTTTTTTTTTTCAGCTTGCCTGTCTTAAAGTTGAACCTGGCAGCGTGCTGGATGTCTGACAGTGGTATTTTTCATCCCATCACAGGGAGGGTTTGATATCCCTGAACGGATGTTCTACAGCATAAGAAAAGAGTGGGAGTCTTCCTCCAGGGACAACATGGGAGACGTCAGGGAACTGATACCAGAGTTCTTCTACCTGCCAGACTTTCTGCTGAACTCCAACCACATCCAGCTGGGTCAGGCTCTTAAACGCTTCTCTTTGTTTACAATACCAAACCTACATGTGTTGTTTCTTGATTTTAAAAGGCAGGGGGCTAAACGTGTAAAATATTAAGGCATCAGAGAAGTTTCATCAACTTATTCAAACTTTTGTTATTGGTTGCAGAAATTTGTCAACAGATATAATTTTGAGCTTTTGGTCTTTTTAAATTTTCTTTTAACACAACCTTGATCATCATTTAAGTTGTTTTTTTTTTGTTTTATATATTTTCATAGTAATATTGGATACATGTGCTAATGAAGATTCTGTCTTTCAGGTCATAGTCATTTCAAAGAAACAAAAAAGTTAAAAAATAAACCACTGGACTTTTTTTTTCCAAGTTTGAAGGCGTTTATTTTCCCATCCAGGAAGCTTTCTCAATTTAAGTTCAAAAGACATTTTCCGTTCACTCACTCATGAAAGACACTGAATGGGATGCTAAATATATTTTAATTAATTCAAACAATAACATACATTTTTGAACTGTCTCACAAAGCTCACATTTGCTCCAAATGTTGACGTGTCATTTTTGATTTTGTACCAAAGTGAATCGGATATGGTAAATTAACACAAATAGATTGGTCAGAGACTGCAGTAGATATACCCTATCAAAGATGTTTTAAAAAGTATATAAGGAAATAACACTGTTGGAATACTATTAGTCAGTTTAAACTACAGGTAAATAGAACAGATATATTCAAACCCAGACATGATGTCAAAAAGCCATTGATTTTTTTGCCTATAATATACAGCATATGATCAAAAGAGAACCAAATTATCACAGGATAGCAACCATATATCAAAAATGTCTTCATATTCCCTAAATCAATTGGATATTGCACTGTGAACAACATAAAATTGTAATGGAGAGTAAGATTAGGTCTAAGCTTTAGATTTAAACCCCAGAAACCTAATTTTAAATCCATGATCAGGCTACATTTTAGAATAACTGTGTGTTTACATCTGCATTTAACACAGTTTGCTACAAAGATTTTGCAGCTAATAAGCTTGAAACAGCATTAAAAGGCAGCAGCAAACACAAACAGGCTTTACTTATATATAGTGAGCTTCATCACTTGCATAAAAATCATACTTCTTTTATGAGCTACATTCATTTTAGGTATGAGCACTTTAAGGCTTTAGAAGACAAATAGATCCAATTTCTAACAGATTTGCTCTGAGCCAGCAGTACAAGCTAGGTGTAAAAACAGAGTAGATATAGTTACTGGGAACAAAAGCTCTTTCACTGTGAGAAGGTAAGGATTGAAAACAGAAGCAATGGGCCAAAGGGATCAGTGGCAGAGAAAAGGAAGTTATTGGTAGAAATGTCTGAGCCATTGGGCGCTATTAAGAAACACATAACAACAACACATGCCTTCCCCCCTCTCTCTAACCCTGTTTACTGTCTGCCGACTTTTGAAAGATATAAAAAGCGAAAGTCAATAGAACCTCAAAGAAAGAGCTTGACCAATGGAATCTATAATCTGATTTTCTTTTATAAATTAAGAAAGATTGACTCTAAAATAATGGCAGTGGTGTCACTGAGATAAAAATCTTTACTTTAGGAAATACTCAGATGGTGATGCTCTGTACAGAATCAGATCTTTTGTTTTCTATCACAGACATCACTCTTCTCTCCATGGACACCAAACTAGGCCACCACTAAAATGTAGAGTGGTTGCTGTTATTAAAATACAAATTATAAAAAAAAAAACACACCCCAAAACCAACAGGGAAAAATCTTTTCAAATTACAGGAAACAGCCCGACCAAACATCGTTGTAGACATATTTTATTAACATAATTGTTTTTCTATGTCCTGTTATGGTTTTTGAAAGTTACACCCACATAAATGAGTCTAAGCATCTTCCTTTTCATGTTTTAAAACTCAGTTCTATTCAGTTCATTTATATAGCTCCAATTGGCTTGTTGCACCAGGCAACGTAAATGTACTTCCACAATCCTATGTATGATGCTGTTCATTTCCGGGGCTGAAAACAATGCTGCAGTTTTACACCCGCTGCCTTCAGGACCTGCTTAAAGTGTTTATTAACAACGTTATTTCCTTTATTTGGGGTTTATCATCCCACAACACAAAAACATGCAAAATTGCAAACTTTGATTTTAATGAATGCCTCACCCTCAAAGATCTTAGCAACTTAGCTGTGAAAGCATCATGCCAAAAAAAAAAAAAAAAAACACTATACACAAAAAAAATCATATGTATAGTTTTTAAGCATTTATTTGGTTAAAATGCTTACTTAACTTTGAATACTACATGCACATGTTATTACAGAAGTTGCATTTGTTTTCTAATACCACCAACCACTGTGTTGGAGGTGAAGGGTAGTTTTCTCACCACATGCCCATACGTCATCAGGATGATTTAAGTAAATGTTACATAGCCTTTCAGAGTAATGGAAAACAAAGCACAAAAATACCTAGGATTCCTTTTACTGACGTAAAAATAGTCCCAACTATTTAAACCCCTTGATTTTCAATGGAAAAGGGATTAGTCTTAAATAGTTAAACACTTTCTAACACACGATCTCTAAAGCACAACAGAAAAAAAACATTTGCAAATACAAACCTCAGACTATTCCCAATCTCTTTGGACTTTAACTGAACTTGTGTGCTTGAGTTAGATGAGACTGAAGTCCGCATCACACCGCTTAGTATCTTGCCATGTAAACCGGTGTATTAAAAACATGTCACATAGGTCTAAAGATGAAGAAATCAAGGTACTATAAGGAAAATCAAGCCCTCTTGTCTTTACCTATGAAACTTTTAAATTGTAAACTTAAATTCCATTGGTTCGGAATAATGTGTCTATATTGGGATCAGTGGTGTGGAATTAACTGTTGTGATGTGGTGTGAGTGGGTATCTTGCTTTTTCATGAATTAAGCATGTCGCTCTTTTTTTGATTAAAAACTGACCATCTGGGAATGACATGTATTTGTCATAAACGTGTCCTGTTCTCAGAAGAAGGTCAGGTTTTATTAGTGTAAAAGTCCTACAGTCTAAGGTAAAGAAAGCCTTTCATCAATTTTGCCTGCCTGATACAGGAATGTTGTGTTTTAGTCACGACTGTAAAATTTGAGTTGCAGTTGTGCTGATTGTGTTATAGTGATATAAATGTGGCTTTTGAATAGTGCAGGTCAGTTTGCAAAATACCAATGACAGTCTGGGTTTTGTGGCGATAACATTTCATTTGCTGCAGTGTAGTAGTATGAAGGCAATGTGAGTGTGTCATTCTCTCTACTAAGCACAGGAAAGGCTTTAATTCGACAAGGTTATAAGGCTAAGCCTTTTGACAAGAAACACTACAGGTGGCATTGGTGTTCAACTGAGGCTATAAAAATGCACTATATGTGTAGCGTTTAGTATGGAGGATCTAGTTTACGTGGTATTATGGACTCTTTGAAGTATTAGAAGATATGGTTCTAGATAAGTGTATAGACCTCCATAAGTAAAATTTAAAAAAGGATCATTATTGGATCTCTCAAAGGTTGATAACCCTAAGCAATAACCAAAGGTTGATTGCTCTTCAAAAAAAGTTTCAAAGTGAGATTATGCATCTCCAATAAAAGAGGAATTTCTTTGAATGCTTTTCTCATATTTTCACCAGATTTGCATATAAATGCGTCAAATATGATGTACATTAGGTTCTGTTTCATGAATATACAAAATCCAAATAATGTTTTACATTAGTATTCTTGGCATTATTTTCTACATTGACAGACTGTTTTAAACATGTTTTACATCTTTTTATAAAGCTGCACAGTTTGCAGTTAGGCTCCCACTGTGTGATGTGATATGTCTACATGATTTCAGGTTGTATGGAGGACGGTACTGCTCTGGGAGATGTTGAACTGCCTCCTTGGGCGAAAGGTGACCCCCAGGAGTTCATTAGGATCCATCGAGAGGTCAGTAACACCTGACCTCACTAGGCTCCTTTGTTCCCATTGGTCAGCCTGACCAGTTCTTAGTGAGACTTTTCCCAAAAGGCCCTAATGTTTGTCAATACAGTCTGATTTATTTAGAAAGAAAGTTCTCCATTTTGGTATCTCTAAACAAATGTCCACTGTATACATGACAGCATAGATGTTTGCCCTCATTCTTTCAGCAACACTAGAAGAGCTTTTTCCTAACAGCCACGGTTTTATTCTTTAGATTCTTTCAGCTGTGTTGTGAATATGATCAGTGTTGTTCTAAATAGCCATGTTTGTAAGGTTTGGATTCTGACAGCTTTGCTATTTAAAGTGATTCATGCAGGCACAAGGATTCTCTTTTTTCATAAAGCCATTATTTCAGCTGTTAATTGGCTGAATGTTCTTTCTTTTCTTCTCTGTCAGACTCTTTTATTGTGTATCTTTGTTGCTATGATTTTTTTGTGTGTGTGACCCTCCCTGTTTTCACTCCTGAGGCATCTATGATGCTTATCACTCTATAATCTACTGAACCTCTCATATTCTCTAACATTCTCATAAAATTAGTGACTTCAGAAGATTGTTTTTTTTTTCTCCCACAGACAAATTAACTCAGGACAAAATATCCTTGTTATGTTTTCTTTTTCAGAATGGGTTTATTACAGCAAGGATGTAGCTGGTCATAATGCCCACTTTCCCTTATTAACTCCTCGAAACCAATCTCTGGCTAATTCCAGCCAAATCATTCTCTAATTCCAACATGAAGACAAGCTCATAACACAGCTCTTAAGCCTTCTCCAGTTTCTGGACTGCTAAATTGACTTTTAGAAGAAATCATTGTGCACCTGTATAATATAATCGCCTTCACTATTGCAAAGAATTCTTGCATGGAGTAAACTTTGATATTACAAATGTGCGTTGTGTTGTTTTGTCCCACAATGATTCTTATGTCTGCAGATTGCATCAGTTCTTCTGTAATATGGCTTAACTAGTTGCTTGCTGTACTCCAACTCCTGCTAGGCCCTGGAAAGTGACTATGTGAGCTCTCGCCTCCACCTGTGGATCGACCTGATCTTTGGTTACAGACAACAAGGTTCAGCTGCAGTGGAAAGTGTGAATACTTTCCACCCTTATTTCTATGCCCAGAGAGGACGACAATATGCAAAAGACCCCATGATCAAGAGTACAATCTTAGGATATGTTAGCAACTTTGGCCAAATTCCCAGACAGGTAACAACACTATATTATATCTACTTATTTCTTGCTTGTAATAATTCATGCATATTGTTTTTTTGCAAATAGAATGTCTTTGTGGTTCATATTTTATACTGTTCCGGCAGCTTTTTACCAAGCCTCATCCTCCTCGCAGTGGTTCAAAGAAAGATGGGTCTTCGCCCTCTCATCCGACTCCATTTTTTTTCCAACTGGATAAACTAAAGACATCTGCAGAACCGTTCAGAGGTACAGCTATACAACCATAGTCAGGTCAGGTGGGCTGTAAGCTTTAGGAGCAGATTGGGTTTGGGCTTGTGTTATTATGAATGTCGTGCTTGCTTTTGCTTCAGAGGAAATTGTATTTAATTGTCATAATTTACTTTTAAAGTAGGAATAAAAGTGTTGGCACTCTTGTCTGTGCTCAGTAATTTCCTTTGGGTACTAATTAAAATTTGCTGATGCTTGTTGCTCCAAATTTGTATGTTTTTTTTTTGTTTGACTGTTTTGTCAGGAAAAGGCTTCAAGTTTCAGCAAAATCAGTTATCCCAGTGTCCACTGCATTTCTTTAAAGTCTGTCCACAGATTTCTGTTGATCTTTAGGTCAGGTTATTGTACCCTTTTTTTAGGAAACATTTTAAATTGGACCAGGGGACCATCTTGCATCTTTGTATATAACGTGAGGAAAGGGGGTTAAAGTCAACCACTCCTATAAAGTCTCTGAACTGCAAAGTGAGATGAACTTGGAGCTTCAGAGAAGAAATTTCTGACGCCACGAAAAAACACAACACAGTGTCCTGCTTAAATTAAGTGTGAAAGGGGTCCGAACCCTGGGTCGGTCTCTGTAGCTGTAGAACAAAACTTAAAGAGACACATAAAAAAGCGGTCAGATTTTTTTTTTTTGGGGGGGATGGTTTTGCTAAATTACTCTTAACCTGAAGCCAAGAAGAGTTTGACAAATTTGCATTATTTAAAAAAAAAAGCAGACGTTTTCTTTTCCATTACCTTAGTCTGGGAAAAAAAATCATTTTTTTTGTTAACATCAAAAAAATTCTTTCTGCAGAAAGGTTGTGAAAATGAGTAAAAATGTCTTAAATTATGTATGTTTACCCTTAATTTGAGTTGGAAGATAAGTTGATCTGCAAATGGGATGAGCATTTTAACCATTAAAATAAGATAATTAGATATGATGCACTTGAAATAAGTGACTGCAGTTGTTTTTGTAATTCTAATAGTCAATTATTTTATTCCATTGACGAAGGGTCTCACTTATCACCAAGAAAGAAAATCACTCATTTTCAGAAAAAAATGACTTACTTATATTTACATTTTTTGCAGCATATTTTTAGCCTTCTTTGTTACTTCTTTAGCCTTTAATGACCCATGGACCGCACCTTGGATATATTCTGCATGATATAATGAAACTAAATCTATCTTTGTTGAATATACTATATATCAGTGTATTTGCCGTACCTCTTTTAATTTTAACCTTACCATTATGTCTGTTATTATACACTGGATATACTCAGGTCTCAGGGGAATGATTGAAATGCATCGAGAATGCACATAGATTAATTTATCCTACAGAAGGGTGGAAGGAGCTGTCTGTTGTAGCTACAATATGGAGATGACTCTTCAGCTGAGCTCTATTTAATAATCTGAATATCCCTACAGGCCCACTGAGAGAGAGGAGATGAATCTGTGAATGCTTAGGGAGAGATTCCTGCATATTACATTTCATATTAAATCTTGGAGTGTCTGATCTGATCAATAAGGAGATGGAGATGAATAGGAGGAAGAACACTAAGATCAGTGCAGACGGAGGTTCTTTCTAGGGACTTTAGACATGGATCTGGTAAATTGATCTAATGATTTCGGCCTTTTCCAGCTCATATAGGTCAGTTAGAGACACCATTACTGCCTCTAAGTTTCCTCACTAACACCTGCTTGCTTTAATTCTGTGTAGGATGCAGGCAGCCCCTATTACAAAGCCTTTGCATCTTGTTTTAATTATCTAATTTTCTCTGGTCAGGTTAATAAAATTCTTTACAAGTTCATGGACCTTCTGAACTTTTTAATGTGATGCTTTTGAAGAGCTTTTGATTTTATTTGGCCATATGAGTTCACAGATTACAGTACAGAATCTCACCTATAATATAATCACTTTACATTTACTCTTTACTTCATAACACTATGCTCAGCAAAACAACGGGTGGTTTTATAAAAAAAAAAAAAAAATCAAGTCATTCTTCTCTTAATGATGGAACCATTGTTATTGCAGAGTTGCCAAGAGGTCCAGTAGGTCAGATATTATGTCTGGAAAAAGAAGTCCTGGTCCTGGAGAAAAACCGGTTACTGGTGTTGCCTTCATCTGCCTGCTTCTTCAGCTGGGGATTCCCAGACAACAGCTGCGCCTTCGGAAACTATGCTACAGAGAAGGTGTGTTCTGTATTGCACAGTGGCCTTAAAGTAATGTTTCAGTGTCAGTCAACATTGTTTTTTTATTAACTTTATCGACTCCTGACAGCAGTTATAATGAATCGGATTTCCAAATTAAACTTCACTGTAGGATTTTCTCTAAAGAATATGCTAATTTTCATCATTTAGTTAAGCTCTTTTAACACTAGGGCACGAAGGAATCACATTTAACTCTTTCTACAAAGATATTCATCAGGGCAAGGATGTCCTTCAATTCGTATTTTAATTGGATTGTGTATAAAATGTTGCATTAAAGGTGGAAGGTGATTTGGAAGATTTTATAATTTAGAAAGATACAGAAATCTTGCCTTTTAGAAGGTGTCTGCACACCTTTGTAAAGCCATGGCTTACGGTTATTTGATTTGTATAAGTTGAGTGATGCATTTCCTGCATGTCTGACTTACATGCTATGGCAACCTCTTACAATATAAAAACACCCTTTTCTGGTTTGCGATAGAGATTTGAAATGAAAAAACCTTACAGTTACCGTACTGTTACAGAATCCTTTACATAAAGATGTTTTACACTTAATCATAGATAAATGAGCTTGATAAAGACAGCAGGCACAGCAACATAAAAGATCTCATGATTTCAGAAATATTTAAATTCTTCTAATCAGCTCCACTCAATGCCAGCTCAATGGCATGAGTTTTTAGATTATTCTTTCCTTTTTTTATTGGCTTTGTTTGTCTTGGCCGTTATCCTATGAGGTGATAAAATAGCAAGATTAATTGACTATAAAAATACAAAAATGATAGAACAATAATTGAACGCGTAATAAAAAATATCTAAAACATAAAATGAGGGTTTAAGAAATCCAATTTATTACCATAATTGCACTTTCTAATTGGAACTAATTTACTGATATTACATAAGTTCCAGAGGTTGCTCTTCATGCTGAAATTATTAGGAGAAAATATATAGACATCTTTCATACAATAGGAATGTTTAATGGCTGGGTAGATGATTTGGTATGGAGGTTTTCTGTATCCACCCTACATACAGCAGCATTTAGGATCTTTTTGTAAAGATGTAGATTCATACATATAGGAAACATTATTCCAATGGACTTGACATCATAAAGAACCACTCTGTCTTTATTCAAGATGCATAAAGCTGTGCATGTGAATTTTCTACTAATTATGACAAAAGAGAAAAACATGTAGTTAAAGAATACTATAGTTATTTTAAAAAGCTAGCATACGGTGGAAGACTTGCTAATAAACATCATGGATATATATATATATCTCATATTATGTTTGGTGGCATGTGAGTTGACCCTTTTCATATCCTCTTTTTTCCATAAACCTGAAATCAATTGTTATTATTCATCTTTTACTGGGCTGTGTATAAAAATCTCTCTTTGAAATATTGAAAAAAGGTCCGCTGATTGATTCAGCAAACCAGATGAGAGTTTATATGAAAACTCCTCTCAGAAAATAAAGTATAATCTTAACAGTGTTTTTTCTTTTTATGGAAAACTAATAGTATCAGTTTTTGATTTTAGATACAGGAAAGGTTTAGCTAATGAGAAACTGTATGTATCTTAGTGTAGACAAATTCAGATTAGGTTTGACATTTAGAGCTATGATAATGATTACCTTTTTATTTGCATTTGGACAATCCAGAAAATGTAATCAACCTATTCCATGGGAAGAGGCATTATTATAGAAAAGAAGCAAGTTTTCACCTTGATTAAATATATTTCAACAGGGATTGCAAATAAATAATACACTGGTATATAAAGCAAATTGCATTTTCTTTTACATACTGTAAAGATCCAATAAATTATAATCCACTGTATTATTGCTAAATCCTTTTTTTTATCCTTAAAAAACATCCCTATACACATAGTAAAGCTATTATTTTACTTTTATACATTCATCTTTAATGGGTTTAAATTTTCTTTGATGATAGGTAGTCTCACAATGTGTTCCAATAATGTTCATTTTTGATTATTTAGTATCAATAACAGAGGAATGAATTTTTTCCATCAGTACTTTGCAGTAAGTGAGGGTTTGTGTGACTGGGGTGAAACGCTGTGCGCCGTCTGCCCCAACGCTACCACCATCATCACCGCTGGAAGCAGCACTGTTGTTTGTGTGTGGGAAGTGGCCATCAGCAAGGACAAACTCACTCACATGAGACTCAGACAGGTGAATCCGTCTGCCTGTTTTTACACTCTGGGAAAGTGGCAGTGCTTTATTCTCACTCTCTTGTGTTTCATAGCCCTTATACGGTCACACAGATGCTGTAACATGCCTTGCTGTGTCTGAGAGCCACAGCTTGATTGTGAGCGGCTCCCTTGACCTCACCTGCATCCTGTGGGATTTGGAGGAGCTGAGTTATGTCACCCAGTTAGTAGGACACACAAGCAGCATCTCTGCACTGGCTATTAATGATCTCACCGTAAGTCTTCTCTCTCTATCTGTTGTCATGGAGAAGGGAGGAAAACCTCCACGCTGACAGCAAGCATACCCTGTATGTGTTTTGTGCACTCCTGTGTGTATGTCTCTGAATATCAACACCTTGATTCTTTGTCCAAGGGTGAGATTGTGTCCTGTGCGGGACCTTTGCTTTACCTATGGACCATGAAGGGACAGCTGCTGGCATGCACTGGAACTTCCTCCGGACCTGAAGCAGACATCCTGTGTGTCACTTTCACACAGCGACTTGAGTGGGATTCCAGGAATGTTATTGTCACTGGATGTGCTGATGGCATTATTCGGGTAAGTTCTGACGGCATAATGCTCTGCAGCAGTATCTATACCCCTTGCATGACGTTTAAATAAACAAACGGCAACATGAAGATCAAGGAAGACAGCAGACAGAGCAAGAGTACATTTGGGCAGGGATATACAGCAGGCTTAGGTTATAAAATGGATTTAACTCCAGTGAGATAATTTATTAAGAGAACAACTATTATTAGAGCAATCTACAAATCTGGCAACTGTGGAAGAGACAGTGTTTGCAGTTTTACATGCAGTAGGTTATGTGTGACATTGATTGTGAAACTGGACCTGGAGTCTAAAAACCTCTACAGAAATAAAACATTAAGGATAATTACGGTGTATCATATTTTTTATACTATTAAAATATATAAAAAAAACACCACTTATATATGGATAAAAAGAGAATAGGTTGGTTGTTGCTGTTGTAATCAACCTAATTTATGTGCTAATAAAAAATTTATTTATAGAGGAGTTTGACCCTCAGAACATAACTAGAATGGATACATCACCCAGAGGTTCAAAGGTTTTGGAGCCTCTGATGGAGGAGGAGCAGCATACGTCTGGAAGCTTCTCTGGACAAATAACATTTTTATCTTTCACCTACATGCAAAGACTCAATGTAGTAAAAACAGTACATCACCCTCAATAGATGCTCTCTTTGCTAAACCATAGACGTGGCAGCATTATGATGTAGGGATGTTTTTATTTAGCAGGGTCAGGGAAACTGACCAAAGTAAAAAAAAAAAAAAGATAATAATATTATATAAAGCAACATGCAGTTCATGACAGTCCTGAAAGAAAAGGGTGCTGCAGGCTGGGGCAGAGGTTCAGTTAGTTGTTAAATATACAGCCAGAGCTGCAATCAAGTCGCTTGAATCGAATGATGTTTTAAAATGGCCTAGTTAAAGCCCAGATCTAAATCCAGTTTCAAATCGGAGGCAATGTAGCTGAGTCAGATTAAATCTTTCCATTTAATCTCACTGAGCTAAATTTTAAAAAATGACTGAAGATATCACTTTTTTGACATTTAAAGCAAAAGGTCTCCTCCCAGAAAACTTACAGGCCAAAAACTATTGATGGAAGCTGACTAAAAATGCATGTCTGAATTTTTAGGTTATTATTTGCTAAAAGTTTTGAAAACTTTGTATAATGTCTCCACCTTCATGAAAGCATTAAGGTATGTTGGTTTAATATGACAAAATGTGAAGAAGTTCAAAAGGTATGAATACTTTTGCAGAGCACAGTAAAGTACGTCAGAGTTATTTCCTTTTATATAGTGTATTTTCTACTATTCCGCTATGTAGTCATTACTTTGATATTATCCTCACACATGCCTGCTTGAATGTCCACCGAGGTTATTAATAACAGCATAAAGGTAGCGTGTGTGTCGGCTGAGTGTTTTAACTCAGGATTAATATAAACACATGCTGCTTCCTTCCTCGCAATCAAAGCCACAAAATCTGAATTGTGCTTTACTTGGGGAGTGTGTGTCCATGCCACGTGCACACAATGCATGCACAAACACCACCCTTGATATATCATTACACTGGTGGAGTCAGGTGAGTGCATGAAAGTGTGAGTGTTCTTGTTATTATGTTGAATTATGTCTATAATTTTGCCACTCGTTATGTGTCTCTCATACAGATATGGAGGACAGAGTACACCAGAACACAATTACCTGGCCCTCCAGAAGAGCCCATGTCCCCAGGGCATGACCGGATAGAAAGAGATGGTAATGTTACTGACAGCCCTATAAAGAATGAGCGTGTGTGTTTTATTCATAACGGCTCAGGTAACGTTTGCGGTTGAGTGTAAGAAAGCTCTGAAAACAGCTCATATGCAGCCGTGGAATAAGAGGTCATCCTCATCCTAATTAAATAAATCTTTATGATGGAGTTTAACTGCTCATCTCAGAGCTAACAGCCGTCTTTTCCAGACGAGGGCTCATAGTGCTCACCCTATCCCTCACTAGCATTAGGGCTAGCAAGAATTATGTTGTTATAAAGTTATTAAACATAGAGGCTGTAAACACTGATGAATAATTCTGCTGACGTGCCTGTTTGCATGTGTGTGTGTTTGTATAATTTAGAAAGCAATAATACCAAGATCCAATTTAGCATACGTTGGTTACAGCCTCACGTCACCTCATAGGAGTATTATGCTTTCCAATTACATTGAGACAAGTCTTTACGTAACCCTGAAGCTTTTATATTTGAGGGAATTTTCTCCCTTTTACTGCCCGCTGACTGCAGATGGACAGGCGTTAATGTACAGTTTAATTGTTTTGTGAGGACCTCTGGGTGCCACAACGTTAAGCTTACTTGTTATTTTGGAGTAAGTGGATGCACTCTCTTGATGAATCTGCAGGGAGTGCCTCAGGCCAGGAGAAAGGCTGGAGGAGATGTCTGATGTTATGTGGGGAGTTGAGCAGAGGTCCAAGCTTGTCCCAACGCCGCCCCAATGATAGCCCCGCCATCACTGCTCTGGCCATGTCCAGGTACAGAGCAGACAAACTCTCAGCTGATTATGTTTCTGCTGTGGCTGGTTGCTGTGATCGACACTGTTATTCATACGTTTGGCTGGTTTTGTTTTAAAATAATTTGAATTCAATTGAGAAGTTTGTTTTTGATCAGGAATGAGATGGGCTTCTCAAAAGATGAAAAACAAAATCAAAGGAGCACCATTTCTTTAAAAAAAGTTGGTTATAATCTCTATATTTTTAAAATATCTTATTAAAAATGAAAACTAGGTTTAGGCGTTATAACTATTAAAGCCTTCTGAAAACAGTTGACAGGCTGCCTATTTTCACTGGCATTTCTAGGATTAACCATATTTTTATGCAGTATTGACTGCAGCTTGGGTCTGAGACAAAATAACAAGATAAGGGCCCCCATCCCTCACATTTCGATTTTGTCTGATTGATCTTTAAATTAAGCATTTAGTCCTAAAAATGCAGATTTTGACATTTTTTTTTCAGGGAGCAAAAAACATTTTGATTTGTAAAGCCAGAGATAAAAAGACTCAATGGTGACTATGACTTAAAACCTAAATAATCTAAATAAAATGTTTTTATCCTTTATTTAGGATAAAATACATTTTTATTCATTGGATCCTTGCATTCCAAGTAACTTTGAAATCTTGACATCTGCAAATAGAAATCTTGACAATATTTTTACAAATGTGGCCCTTCTGGCTTTCCATAACTGCTCTAGTTGCAAATGAATCAGAATTCAGCCGAAATTCTTAAAATAAATACTTGCGATACAGCCATTCACTGGAAGAGGCTTTGTTAAACACATTGAGGGAGAAAACTGTTCTGTCTGAATGGGTGAGATTTCCTCAAAAGTAGCCAATCAGAGCCAGCTAACATTCTCTGGTTGGTTCCACTCTCAAAAGTGACAAAAATTTGACATGAGCACAAATAAATATATCTGCACATGAGCAGGAGATAATCTACAAGCGTTTAGAAAGAAAGCCCCAAGTGCAGAGAAGGAGCAAGCACTCATGCTTTAATATATTGGGTAGCTCCTGGTATTAAATCTGTGCACATGAAACATTCAAAATACGCCCAGAGAATAGTTTACATGAGTGTGTTTGAAATAAAACTGCTAATATCTGTATTTATTTCACATGTGCACTTGTGACCACTTAAAAAAAAAAAAAATGTTTTTTTATTTCTGACGTGTGTCGGAATTCTGACTTTATTGGTGGAAGGTACTTCCACAGGGCCCTAATGGCAAATCAGAAGGAGATGATTTAATGGAGCTTAAATATCAAGCCTATGTACAGTTTTGATGTACAAATCTTTAGATTGGGTAAGTAGTCAGCAGACATGGTTTAGTGTATTTAAGTATGGATAAATGAGTTTTGAGACTACAGATGAACTAAAGGTCAATCAAACTGTTGCTTTTAAATCACAAAAAAGTTTTTTCTGATCATTCAAACTGTAATTATCCGTAATGAGGAAAATGAAGACATAATGAAGCCACAGAGTTAAAGAAAAGAGTCTGTTAAAACAGCAGAGCCTAATCTAATATAAGACATTTGCATCTAATCAAGCAGATCCATTTTTTTTTTTTGCAAATACCATAAAAGTCCTCCACCACACTGATAAATCATAAATCAATTTCAGTATAGTGTTTTTTTCATGATTCTTTGTGATAAAAAGCATCTAAATAAATTGGAATCACCTCTATTACCTTTATGGTTATTTTAAAAGTTGACCACCGTTCTTTAAAACCAAACAAAACAAAATTCATATTTATAAAGTGCGCTGTTTACAAAATCTGTTGAAAAGCCAAAGACATCTGATTTGCTCAGTTATAACATATGTGGAACTTTAAATAAATTTTTCTTGAGTAATAAAATGTTTTTAATTTATTTTATGTGAAATCAGGCATTTACCAGAATGCCGTGAAAATGTTCTCCATGCTGTTTGAAGGAAATTCCAGAATGCTTCACAAAATCCCTAATTTCTTCTGTGCAGGACTCATGCGACCCTGCTGGCTGGAGATTCTTGGGGCAGAGTTTTCACATGGATCTGTGAATGATTGGCGTCTGCTGCCCATATTTCTGTTTTCCCATGAGAAAATAGACTTACAGAAAAACTCCTCAACAATCTCAGGTGTCAAACCTGCTGAACAGCGGGAACTGCTTCACGTTCACTGGATTGTAGATGCACTAGTTACAATGGGAGAAGTTACACACAAAACACAATGTTTCCCACTTATAATCATTTTTATTTCTGTTCTTCTCTGTGTAAATAATGCATATCAATGAATGTAAATGAAATAATGAAGCACCATCCTTTGAGATCATTTCTTGTACCTCTGATTGATGGAGATCAAGAACAGACAGGTCGGGCTTCCTTAAATTGAAACCTGATTGATACGGGCAAAGGCTGGCTTGAATAAAAAAAGTACAAATGAAAAATAAAATAATCTTTTGTTGCTATAGCAGGACTGAAAACAGATGATAGTTTAAGTTCATAACAAACTTGGTCAGCTTTAAACTGAAACCAGATTTTGTGAAAAGGAAGCACAAAATATTAAAGTAGTAAAGTAGTTTTCCCAATGAAGAACAACTGATATAAAGTTCTATATTATGTAATTATATGTAGTTTTTCAGGATACTAGAAAACAATGCAAGTTATCATTCTCCTCTTAGATTACTGCTTTGAGGAGTTCAGGATGTTTATCAGATATTTTTCTCAATGTGTTTTTACTTTGCCTGGTAATTTTGTACTTAGGAGAATTTAACTACTTCCTCAGATCATAATTCTTGGTGAAGACGATGAGAAGTTGTGTGTGTGTGGTGGGGGTGGAGTGAGGCGGGGGGTGGGGGGTGTTTGGGTCTTGTTGGGGTATGTTTTATGCTTGTTGCAGATTCTTTGCATGTTTCTGGTTTCCTGAAGACAAACGTCTCTTTAGATCTATCTCTGAGGGAATAACCACAAAATCCTCCTACGATCTCAACCATTTGACAGAAGACTACGTGAAAGTTCACACTTTTTATAACACCACAGATGGGTCAGTTATTAGTTGTTGGGGAAGTTTAAAATGAGCTTAGGATATAAAATGTTTTCCCCAGCTGTGAGCGTCTCACACGACATTGCAGGATCCTCTGCACATGGTAACTCTACAGAGACTGCCTTAATAAAAGAATAAAAGAAAGCCTTAACAAGTCATGTTTACAGTTTCCTTTAAGCCACTCTGGATGGGAGCAGTAAATCTGTGAATGGAGATGCTCTGGATAGTTAACTCCAGAAGGGAATTTCTTCTTTCTTATGCCAAACCGTTGGTATAGAAGTTATACGTTCTTGAAGATTGCCAATCATCTGGGCACATCTACATTTTAATAATCAGGTAACTCTTACAGAGTCTGGAGTCTTGCTTGTGTTATTTCTGTTGTTGTGACTCTCAAGCAAATGAAGCGCTCCTCTTTATCATAGAGGACGGGGTCCCTCTCTTTAACCTTTCTGTGTGTGGCTAATTGTGCTAAGTGGAGTGGCTTAATAGAGTAGAAAATAATCCTCATAATTTTCCCAGAGAGCGGGCATTGACCTTCTCTAAAGACAACAGCCATCTCCATTCTCTCTACACCACTGGTTTTATGATATGAGATGTCAGACCATTGGGTTCCTCAGAATAATTAAATCAAATAAATTATTGCACCTAGGCAGAACCATCTTGTAGCCTAACCCAATTATAATGCACTGTAAAGCTAATTATTAACCATGATTACAATTAGTCTAATTTGAATAAATGTAGTCATTAGTGGGTTCAACCCAGTCAGTGAGTATGAACTGTGGGGGATGAGGGTCCCTCTCACTTGCTAGAGGAGTAGTGTAGATGTGCATCATTCTCTTTCTGCAGACACCTCCACCTTCATCCCATTTTTCACGGTGACCTTCACAAACTGGCCCACACCCTCCACCTTCTCTGTATTAAGTGCTTTCTGGATTTAAAATGTCAGATCCACTTAAAAATATAAATGAAATAATTAACTAAAAAAACAGCAGAGGGTGATTTATTATTTTTCTTTTTTTTATTAGATATTTGCCTGATAACAAGGTTGCTAGATTCATAATATTTTCTGTTTTTTAGAGTAGGGCTAGTAGTTGCACTCACATCTCTTTAAGTTGCTGTCTCCCTGTATGTCAGCACTTTGGGTCTAAATATAAGGCAGAAAACTAGGGCTGCATGTTATACTACACAATCTTATATTTGCAATGTCACTCAACAGAGCATGCATATCATGAAGAACTGCAAGTACTGCCATAAAACATTTTTAACTCATTTTTAACTATCAAAGTGCTTTGTATTAAGGGTATCTAATCCTGCCACATTTATTTGTTGACACTAGTTATTTAAAGCTACATAAACCTAGCAGGAAGATAGGTTAGATCAAGATTAAATTGGACTGGTCAAATAACTCCAATCTCCAAAACATCATAATTTTGTATGTAAATTCTATTTCTTGAACATTTAAGGCAGCATCTTATTTGTGTCAGCCAGCTCTTTGCAAAGACTACATTACGAAAAATGGTTGTAGGAGTTGGTAATCCGATAACGACTGTTTAACACATACTGTGCTGAAAATGGGAAATGGACGAAAGGGATTTAGCACCTTCCTAGTTATGCTGAGAGCTTGTTTACAGTGAGGCAAGGCAAATTTATTTGTATACAGTAGCACAATTCAGTACAAAGACAATGCAAAGTGTAGAGCTAAATTCACCCACCTTCACTGCCAAACACACTCATACACACATGCAAATAGCTAAATGTTGATACCATTTCTCATTAGCGATGGGGTTGTAGATGTAGGGCCATTGCAACATGTTTGTGATAGAGAGAGAGAGCAGCTCAGTAGAAAGAGGACATTCACAAATTAACAGTAGCACAAAAAGGTGCAGTCTAAAAGTGCTGTAGCATAAAGAGCAAACATACTTTAAAAAAGGTGTATTCTATTGGTTTTTATGCATCTTTTCTCATTTAATTACAACACTAATGACATGATCAAATCATTACATGATCCATTTTCTATAGGTTTCACACAGGTTATTGTATCGCCTCTGTCTTCCATTGGCTATGTAGAGTCATCAGCTTCAGTATAAATAATCATTGGCTTCTGGGTAAATGACAACAAAGGCAAACAGAAATTTAAAGGTTTATAAACTAGTGTTTGCATTAAATGTAAATGTTTTGATAAAGAGAAGTTTTTGATTTCTTCCTGTCTAGCCTCCAGGTTTACCATCCAGGTGCAGCTGATTCTGGATGTATACTTAATGAAGATGTCACTAGAGTTTCTGCTGTGGGAAAGACAGCATTTTAACAGAGACTGTCTTTAAAAACTCTAAAACTAATATAATTATAATTATATTATTGCAGCAAAAAGAAAATTTCTTTAGCAGTGAAGGATATGTGCAGTATTCACTTTATTTGTATAAGCCAGGAATATTTTACAGGGATGAGGTGTGCAACATCAAAATTGTAATTCTACATTGAAATTAATGATCTCTTGCAAAACAAATACAGAAAAAAACCTGAAATGCATCCTTTACACCTTAAAAGCTATATAATACTTACAACTGCACCATCTTAAAACCTCATGTCACTGGTTTCAGGTCCTAGGTTACTTCAATATTGATCTGAACTTTTATAAAAAGAGCATTGTCTTTCTTGATACTTCTGAAGACATAAAATTGTCCTACATCTGCTTTAAAAAACACTCCATTTTATTTTATTTTTTGTCTCTAGTGGTCAGCTGCAGCAGAATAACATGGGTTGGGGATTTTCCTCTGTGGGCTTTTTTGTTGACAAAAAGGGAACCAAGCATGCATGTTTTTTCTGTGGTTGTTTCTTATTTAGATTCCTCGGCCTCCTTTGTCTCAATCCTGCTTTTTTAGTAATTGTCTTACTGAAAGACCGGCTGCAGGGATTATCCAGTCTCACTATGAGACCATGTTCAATACACTGTTGTTATAGTGGCATATTAAGCTCCATCTTTTTATAAGCAAAGCAGTAAAAAGTGCATATATATATATATATATATATATATATATATATATATATATATATATATATATATATATATATATATATATATTCAATTTTTTATGAAAATTTTGCTCTATTAGCAGGACTCTATAGCTCATTACTGTATGTGGAGTGAGATATAGTTTTGATGTTTTTAGTCCAGTTAAATTTCCTCTTTATTTTGCTTGTTTTGACTATCAGACACTTACTGACTTTCCACTGTGAGACCAGTGCTTTATGCACATTTTACTGCTACGCTTATAAAAAGATAGAGCTTAATATGCCACTACAAAAGTATATTGAACATGGATACTGGAGTTTTATATATCTTTGCAGCATATCTGTCTCACCATAGAAAGGCAAGGCAGTTTAACTTTGGCTCCAGGTTATACTAACATTTAAATCTACACTTCTACAAATGAAAGACCTCAGACCACAGCATATTTATTAATACTGAGTTTTAATACAGTAATAAGGAATTAACTTCAAAAGCTGATTGTTAAAGTGTCAAGATGGTGCCATAAAAATCTCACGGACAATAGTTTATTCGAGCACAGTCTCATAGGTTTATAGATAGAAGTTAACACTAAATCAGGGCTATAAAAAACAGACTCACAGACCAGCAATGCTATCAAAAAACATAGGCCCAACAAAAAAAAAACCCTTCACTTACCCACAAATGTGGCATCTTTCATTAAAGAAGCTAAATATCATACTCATAGTTCATAAATATGTTCCTGTAGATGCTGCTTTGTTCAGTTGTTGGATGGAAAACTGGACCTCTGCCCTCACCAGGAGGAACCGAGCTGCCAGCTCTATAGCTTTTCTTCCTGGAAGAGGATCTGAGCATACACAGTGTCAGGGCTGGTGGGTGTGGCATCAGGGCCGGAGGAGGCTGGTGGTTCCTGCCTCGGTCGGACCAACTCCAGTTCTGCATACGTCAGGCTGTCTTCTTGTGATACTCGAGACTTTGAAGAGAAAAGGAAAAATGGGAGAGGAATTTAACAGGCAGATACCACAAATGAGGACCAGTCTGTTCAGCATTCCCTGCAAAATATCTGCTCAGCTACAAAAACTATGGCCTCACTGTGTTTTCAGGAGCTTTGGGAACATTTAGTTGACTTGAAAACATTTGCTGCCAAAGGCGTCCTACTCAGCATCCTTAGATCTGCCTAATTGCACTAATCTAATCCATATGTGCATGGGAACTCCAATGCTTCTTGTCAAAACAACATCTTAAGGACAACACTAGCAGAGACAGGGGTGGTTCTTGGTTTGCCCCTGTACATACTCATTTGAGGCTTTTATTGTAGATATAAAGCCAATGAAGCAATCTAAGTAAATAATTGAGTTTCTGAAGCAATACTAAATAGAATTATCAAGCTCATAACTGAATGAGGAGATGGCAATAAACTCTGGTAGACAATCATGCAGTCGTCAAACATATTCCCCCTTGTATGGATTTCAATAATAACTCTGCTCCTGAAGAACAGAATACGAGTAAAAACATGCGTAATGAGGCACTCTCCAACTTTTATGGTGGGTGCTTGTTAAAAGCATCCAGCAGACTGAGTACTTACAGTGGCAGATCTCCTTGGCTGAGTCTTCAACCTTCTGGGCTTCTGCGGCCTCTTTGCTGCAACAGGCGCTGCAAGAAAGATGTGAGAAACTTAATTTAGTGAAAACAACAGCCTGGAGATTTGAATCCACAAATGCTGATGTGTGTTGGAAGTCAGAGTTAAACTGAACTGAGATGTTGTTTAGAGCAGTAAAAAAACA